GGATTTACTTGAAAATTTGGTTTCCTGGATACACGCTACATGTGGTCCTTGGTTAAGTTTAAATCTAGCTTTAAGTTCGTGGCTGTGGGAGTTAAGCCCGTCCGCATTCCACTGGAAGATATTTAGGCCTGTCATTATTTGGGCTTTTAGTGTTTGGAGATTATGGTTTTTGGTTTTGGTTTACTTTATAGTCCTGTGACTGCTCGGTTGTAGCTTGCGTAGAATTCTGGGTAGGTTTGGGTGGTAAGATTTAGTTTAAATGCTACTTTGTGTAGTGTAGTGGTGCTAGCATCTGGTTTGATTTCTTTTAGCATGTAAGCTAGTAGGATTGTAAGATTGTTTAGTTTGGTAGCTAAGGGTGTTTGGGGTTCAGGTTGAGTTTGGGGTTTACGTTTACGATTTTTGAGATTTTTGGGGGCTGACCTAGTTATTTCATTGATGTTATCCTCAGTTTCGGTTTGGGAATCTTCTACGCTACTTTGATTTGTTTCCTCACTCTCCATGGGGGTTGTTTGAGTGTTTGGTTGTGTTTGCGTGGGCGTGTTGGGTATATCCATGGGTTGATTACAGTTTGTGTTTTCGGGTGTTGCTTGCTCGTGTGTGGTTGTTGTTGCCCTGATGGCTGTAGCTTGTGTGGTGTTGGGTTGAGGTATGGCTGGTATGGTGCGTTTTGGTTTGCGTGCGGGAGTAGATGCAGAGAGTGGTTTGGGTGTGGCGAATGTTGGCGGGTAGTGCGGGTTTTGGGTGTGTGTGGGTGTTGCTTGTGGTATTTTCATGGGGACGCCGTCAAACAGGCTTCGTAGGTGTGGTTCGTTGTTTGGTTGCGATGTGGGTAGCAAAGGTTTGTTTGGATGTTGTGTCGGTTTTCGTGTTTGGAGCTTGGCCGAGTCGATATCTATGTGTCTGTTGGCCTGTTGGGTGAGGGTGTGTTTGTGGGGGCATTTGTTGGATAGTGAGGAGTGGTTTGTGGTTTTACAGTGAATGCACCAGGGTGTGCAGGATCCTGGGCATTGAGGTTGGGCGCATGTTCTACATTTAGTTTTTTGATATTTACAACCGTTAGCGGTGTGATTGTATTGTAGGCAGTTGGTACATTGTTTAACTTGTTTAATGTAGGGTTTTACCTCTAGTTTGGTTGATGCTCCGAAAGAGATGTATTTAGGGGCTTCGGGAAATTTGTTTGATTTTTGGAAGTTTATTGGTGTATTTGATGTTCTACCGTTTCTATTTGAGGTAATTCTCCTAGTGCTGGTTATTTTAGGTTGGGGGAAGGTGTCTGTGTTAAGGTTTGCTTCATTAGTGTATAATTCTAGGTCTTCCTCTGATTCTCTAGGGTTAACTCTGATTACTCCTCTAGTGTATAGTTGCCAGTTAGGGGTTTGATGGGTTACAGTGTATTGGAATATTTCCGTTACTTTTTTGGCTGCATTTAGTGAGTCTTGGTCCGGAAAGATGATTTGATAGCCTTTGTGTGCTTCCCTGATTTTGTCGAAGTTTATTTTTTGTTTTTTGAACCATAGTCCTACTTTGTTAGCGGAGAGTACCTTACTTAGAGTGTTTATGGGGCCAGCCGCGCAGAAGTAGAGGGCGAAGGTGACCATGGATGCAGTGAAGGAAGGTGGTGTGAGTGTAGTGTTGGAAGCGTCCAACTTCCGTTTCTTGGGGTTTGTTGTTGTTGCGGGCGAATCGGAAGTTTTGGTAGGAGAAGCGACTGTCGATTGATTTCCGAATTCGTGAGGGATGAGGGTTTCTGGTGTCCGATCGGAGGTGTTGTGGGCCTCCGATGGTGTGGGTGTGTCTGTACGGTGGATGTCTGCCTGAGTGATGATACGTGTGTCGGACATGTCTGTGGTTGTGCGTAAGCTGATGTGAGGTTTGAGGTTTTGTTTGGGGGGAGGAGAGTGAGCTGAGTTGGTGGCAGTGTTTGTAAAGACTTATACCTGCCACGGACACTAACAGAGCACGGCAAGTTGAGGATCTGCTGAGGAGTGGTGTACATGTGTAAAAGGCGACAAGAAACAAAACATTAAGAAGTAACAAGCCCCCTTCGCTGGTGGTAGGTTTTTCCCCGAGAAAGAGAGATGTATACATTCTATGAAATAATGGAAATCCCCCAAAAAGTAAGGTTCCGGCGAGGCTCGAACTCGCGGCCTTTTGCGTGTTAAGCAGACGTGATAACCACTACACCACGGAACCACCTGTAAAGGAACATGAATCTCTTTCGTGTACCATTGATTGTATGTTTTCTTTTCTCTCACGGCATTTCCTCTTACTGGTTCCATCATTTCCAATATCAGGACTTTGTACCATTGAAACATGACTGGAAACGTATTGGATCACGATCAGGGGGCTAATTAAGGTGTAATGATGTCTTATCTCACAATCTTCCCACCAGCTTCTCTCAACTAGACAGTTAACACCATGTATATTGATGTCTTATCACACAAACATCCCACCAACTTCTCTCAACTGGACACTTTACACAGGAGCAGCCATACAGTCTCAATCACGGTCAATGGGAGATAACCACTGCCACGATGTAATCACCAAACAATATACATTGTACAAACCACTTCAGCTGTTGACATTATCTGTACTCTCTATGTTTTTTTCGCAAATCACAAACGTGGAATGAATCCTAAGTACACAGAGGTGGCGATGTCTGTAACTGATTGACCTGATGAAGATTTTTCAAAAGATTTAGCAGGAATGTTACATGCTGTTGCATACCACACTGGCGTGCCTTTTGAAAAGAAGTAGGTACAAATTCCGCCATATGTTAGTTAAGATCATACTTTTAGGGATCATTTCTATAGTATGCATCGCCATGACTTCAGGTAAAACTGACAGTCTCTCTTTCTGAGCGCGAAGCGAACCAGGGTGAGTGCCAGCTCAGGCTAGTAACTCTGGTTATTGATGACCGTTCCTCTCAGTCACATGTGGCAGAGATGGAGGGAAGAGAGGCATTCTGAGTGGTTTGGCTTATCTATTTTTCCAAGTAAATGTCGATTAGCCACTTCATATAGACACTTTGTGCGTGACTTCATAATTAATCAACAGTGGACACAGTCAACACAATACGCTGTGTGTGCCAGCAAGAGAGAAGTAAAATAACAATTCATAGAAGAGCAAAAACATCAAGGTTCAGGCGAGGCTCGAACTCGCGGCCTTCTGCGTGTGAAGCAGACGTGATAACCACTACACCACTGAACCTCAGCTGTGTTGGTGGCAGTGTTTGTAAAGACTTATACCTGCCACGGACACTAACAGAGCACGGCAAGTTGAGGATCTGCTGAGGAGTGGTGTACATGTGTAAAAGGCGACAAGAAACAAAACATTAAGAAGTAACAAGCCCCCTTCGCTGGTGGTAGGTTTTTACCTGAGAAAGAGAGATGTATACATTCCATGAAATAATGGAAATCCCCCAAAAAGTAAGGTTCCGGCGAGGCTCGAACTCGCGGCCTTCTGCGTGTTAAGCAGACGTGATAACCACTACACCACGGAACCACCTGTAAAGGAACATGAATCTCTTTCGTGTACCATTGATTGTATGTTTTCTTTTCTCTCACGGCATTTCCTCTTACTGGTTCCATCATTTCCAATATCAGGACTTTGTACCATTGAAACATGACTGGAAACGTATTAGATCACGATCAGGGGGCTAATTAAGGTGTAATGATGTCTTGTCTCACAAACTTCCCACCAGCTTCTCTCAACTAGACAGTTAACACCATGTATATTGATGTCTTATCTCACAAACATCCCACCAACTTCTCTCAACTGGACAGTTTACACAGGAGCAGCCATACAGTCTCAATCACGGTCAATGGGAGATAACCACTGCCACGATGTAATCACCAAACAATATACATTGTACAAACCACTTCAGCTGTTGACATTATCTGTACTCTCTATGTTTATTTTTTTCAAATCACAAACGTGGAATGAATCCTAAGTACACAGAGGTGGCGATGTCTGTAACTGATTGACCTGATGAAGATTTTTCAAAAGATTTAGCAGGAATGTTACATGCTGTTGCATACCACACTGGCGTGCCTTTTGAAAAGAAGTAGGTACAAATTCCGCCATAAGTTAGTTAAGATCATACTTTTAGGGATCATTTCTATAGCATGCATCGCCATATACATTGTACAAACCACTTCAGCTGTAGACAGTATCTGTACTCTCTGGTATTTTTTCGTAATCACAAACGTGGAATGAATCTAAGTACACACAGGTGGCGATGCGTGTGAAGCAGTCGGGATAATTGTTACACCCCAGTTACACCGCCAGGAAAGCTTTAGCACAATTATATATCAACGATAACATGATTTAAATCGAACAAATCACCCGATTCTGTAGATTTCTCCATTTCGAAAATGAGGTTTTAGGGGTCAAACGAGAATAGGAAGAGGGTTGAGAATCACTCAAACTATAAAAAACTATATCAAAGTTATACTCGTCATCATCATGTGAAGCACTGAAGGGCCAATTCTGCAGTTCTGTTGAATGAACTTCCCTGTTTTTATTTATAAATTGAAATGATCTCAAAATGTTGTAAAGTACAGAAAAGGCCAAATGAAAATAAACGACCAACATGCTTCCAAACATTTAAATAAATTAATTAGTAATTAAGTATTCACCTTTATTTAAAATATAAATGTTTGTACAAACTATATCAAACTAGGGTCGCAACTTCACAAGACAAAAACACTGTCTGAGTGACGATACGCACGATTATAATATCATACATTGAGATGTATTTTTCAGAATGTGGCAGTAATACGCTTCTATAGATTTCTGAAGTAATGACTGATTACTTTCTAGGCCAATACTTTGTTAAAGCCTGGTAAATAAACGTCTCGACATGTGTCTGGTTTCATGAAAAAAGGTTCCTAACAAAAACGGCTGAGACATGTACGTAGTGTCGTCCGATGTATATGTTATGCAGGTGCGATACCAACTTGAACGTTTGTTAGATCCATTACAGGGAGCAAAAATGACGTTCGAAAATATTTATTTCTTGGAGGAAAAAAGGACATTACATAATAAGTCTGTATGAAACATTTAATACACTTTGGAATCTTGTTATAACTGATGCAAAGTTAAAATTCAAATTTATAACAAACCTACTTTAAGGAGTAGTACTAACTCTATCTTTGAAAATATCAACTGACAAGCACAATTAGGAGATAGCTGTATACCGTAAAAAATACTATTATCAAGAGATGGATGACAGGAGTCAGGTTGTTTGTATAATCCGATACATTCTAACAAAGATATTTTACTATTCGTTACAAAAGAAATGTAATGTAATGGTTTGTTCATTGTCAAACATAAATCTGAGAAATGAACATGTCACTGATAAATACAATGCATCATCGATGATCGATTATGAAGGCTTTGCAGTGCTAACACACGACACGTAGCCTTGTTCACATGAGATATCAATATGACGTTTTTTCAACTAACTTTAAAAAGGCAATAATAGAAAGGTTTTCGAAAGTTGAAATATATATACAGAACATAATGGGTGCTTACACACAGATATTTTGATGGATTTCATTGACTAAGGTGCACTTATGTCTTTTGCACACTCCGATTTCTTCTATCACAAATGTCCATTTAATGTGTGCATATAGTATATCCCTAAATAACCACCTACCCTCGTTTATTGCATGTAACAACAACGTGTCGGATAGTGCTTCCCAAATTATCTGTAATACATGTGGCAATATATTTGTTTATATTAAATATTGAACTGTGGCCCTACTTTGTTACATTCTGTTATACAAAACATAACTAACATAACATAACACACAGGAGGTTATTCTGCTTAATGAAAAACATGGAAAAATCACGAAAAGTATAACACAATGCATAAGAAGAATGTGCTACCTTTACAAATGGCGGTTAGAAACTACACTTTCTTCATTAAACTACACATACATGTGAAACAGGAATTGTGTTCTTGTAACGAGTGGGGGCTTGTTCGTTTCAATTTCAACATTGTCCGTGTTTCCTGAAACAGTAAATATAAATTGTCATTATAAATGCATGGCACAACAGACTGAACACAAAAATACCTATTGCAGCACTTTATCATAAAATACAGCTTTTCCTATTAACAGTTTATGTATTCCACTACACTTGAACGTTTTACAAAGAAATGGTACAGGTGTGGTACAACCGTTTTCATTTTGCTAAACAATACATGCAAGAATCTTATGGTAGAGGGTTCAAATCCCATATTCCCCCTGATTATGATTCTTGGAATGTCAGTTTACACCCGTGCTCTTAGGTTCCCCAAAGAAGTAAATGTCTAAATCCTGCATGCTTTCTTCAATTCTTTCTTCAATCCCACATTAAGCTGAAACGCCGTAGTATAACTGAAATGATGTGGTGTTAAATTCAACCCACTCACTAACATGTCACAGAACGTCTTTTGTTTGCTTTCTTGGTTTCTGTATAAGTTCATCTTGTGAGTGGGTATATATTCTACAATTAATTAACTACGAAGGTTATACTATCGAGGTAGGGAGAGATATGAACAGGTAAGAGAAAAGCAATACTTATAAGCACTGTTGTAGCTGCGTTGTGTTGTTGTCCATGGAGTGATGTAAATGATTCGGTAATACAAACTATTTACAAGTTATTCTTTAATTATTTATTGTAGTTTAAGTAATTGATTCGCTGACATAATATCACACGAGATTCCATATATAACCTATGTATAGAACACAACTGGACCTACAAGATGCCAGCAGGCGATGAATACAACTAAAGAGCTCCTATCTTGTGTCGCGTAGATGGTCCACTTACATTATGGACACGTGCCATCTACATGACTGGTTGAACTCTGTGTTGGCATCGGAAGCTGCATCCAGGGCACAAGCTACACATCTCCGTGGCCTTCCGAAGGTAAAGAGTTGAAACAACATTATCTGTAACAAGGACGAAAACACATGAACAACAACATCACTGAATCATAAGAGATCCCAGATTCGCTCACTACTGTAGCAGGTGAGTTGGCGTGAAATAGAGTTTAACATCGCGTTCAAGATTTTTGCATTTATATATAGCGACGTGCATGCACGTGTGCGTGTCGCTGTTTGTACTAGTCTGGACGAATACAGATTTTTTAGGTACAGCCTACTGAGATACCATGTGGCAGAGTAACATGAATACCCCACTCAGACAGGGTATTCTGACTCCTTGCCGACCAGTCTTGTTTAGCCCCTTAATGCCGAGCGTCAGGCAGGGTAACATCAAGTACTATGTTTTAACGTCTTTTTCGTATGACGCGGCCAGGGATCGTATCCACGACCTTCCGCTCTCCAGGCAGCCGCTCTATCCACAAGATCACGTACCCGGTTCATAGTATTCCTGAAGGGCAACCGTGCTAGGTCGGGAGTCAATCACAACATCAGCCATGGTCATCACAGTGTTTATACATCCCTCGCGATCCGAAATCTGGAATATACAGTTACATCAAACCACTTTGCCATCAAACATATCAACAGTGTGGACAGAATGCATGAATGCATCTTTACACTTTGTCGTACTTTGCTTGTGCTGGAGGAGTATATGAACAATTGCACTCCCAAGTGAATAGTAATGTATACCATCGTTTACTCACTTCGTTGAAGTAAAGTGTCAGCGTGTTTCCATTTCTCTCGGAGCGGGAAAAGACTGCAGTATGTTGCCTCTCATTAAGGTCCGGGTCAAAACCAGTAGGTACTCCAATGTTGAGAAGGCTCATACCACTACTTCCTGCTTCAAGATGACGGAAGCATGTCTTCAATACAAATCTCCTGTCTGTCTGTTCCAGGATCTCTACACGTAATTCAAACTTGGGATTGGTAGAAGGCGTGTTCTCGTTATACTGTTTATGCACCTGTAAAAGAACGCATTCCTCCTTGCAAGGAAACTGAACATGAACAAAAGGCAACTTAACATGCTGCACAAACCATGTACTTGGGAAATACAAAATGCGCACTCAACAATATTTGGTTAACAAACATGCATATGTGATTGAATGTTGATTGGTTAAATAAGTGAGTGAGGTAGGTTTAACGCCGCTTTGGAGAGTATTTCTACCATATCACAGCTGCCAGCTTGATGCAGAAGCAACGCCCATAGTAAAACAAGACGTTAACTACTTAGGTGCAATCAACGAGCACGAGCATGGTGGTGACATACCATAATGTGTTGAAAACGGGGACTGAACCGACATTCAGTGGATCCTGTGTCACGTCAATTAGCGAGATGTTGCAGACCTGATTAATTCACATGGCGTTTGAACGAAATATGTCGACAATAACGACAATATAGTAAGTATCTGACAAGGGATTTAACGCCGCTTTTGACAGCATTACAGTCGTGTCCTTGTGGTTAGGTTAACGCGTAAGGAAGCCTGAAGCGACGCAGGTTTTACCGTGAAACGTACGACTACGGACATATATATATAAATCACCAAGCATCTTAATCGGGCCACACTCAGTAGATGCTCGTGTGGAAGAGTCAAGGATTATACATTTTGGACTGATACAAATTCGGAATATTCAAATAAGCGATACACCATTTAATCAATTTGTCAACAGCAAACTATTGAGTATACGTGTTTTGGGTATGAAAACTATTTGTATCCGACCTGTAGTACCGCCACCCCAGACCCGGAGGCTGTCAGAGTCAGCACACTGGGTACATTGGCCACCTGGAAATACATGCAGAGTATTAAACATGAAGAGAAACGTCTATGTGGAATCAAACTGTGCATGACAAAGTTTTTACTTTTGAAGGAAAGCGACAACACTTACTGGAATCTCACCCGCTTGTAGTAGGAGGGCTGTGTCAGAATTGATAGAAAAATTCTTGGAATACCCTTGCATGTTGACAGAAATATTGATGGATGTCTGTGGTGAATACACATCACCAGCAAACTTTGACAGCGCTTCAAGGGCTACAACCGTGTCCTGTAAACATAATTTCGTGGTTCAAGAAACACATTTTCTGGTGCTGTAGAGTATTTTAACTTTATCACTAAACAGAAACTAACGTGCACTTGGTACTTATCTGTTCCACTCTTGTGCTTACCTGTGTCGATATAAAGCCTCCCCTGTCATTTCTCTGGTTACTGATCCACCGCATGACAGGGAGTCCTTCCGTTACATTGCTAGTCAGAGAGTAGAGGAGAAGAGCATATGACGTCATCTCTATACTCTTGGCTTCAGTGTCGCGATACCATCGGTAGTGGAAGTATCCCGTGGGTTTAGGCGGTGATGGGTCCATCCAATGTTTAGAGCTTACTGGAAATCAAAAAGCGACAAAATAACCAGAAGAAAAGACGAAACAAATTCTATGATACATATATACGGGTTCAGGGTTTAAGGAGATATCAACCTCACTACCACTAGGGTAGAGAATGACGACTTTAGATCTGCCTTATTTTTGAAAATGTCATTCTTAGTGCTCTCGTGGACTTGCAGTGGAGAAAGCATGCATAGGTCTAATTACCGTCATTGACAGCCGCGGCTTCAACGATGGACTGAGCTTCAAGAGCCCTGTTACTACCAGCAAGAGCGAGAGCATAGGCCACGAGGATCTTGTCATAAGTTGTGTTCAGGGTGTCGAACCGGGACTCCAAATATTGCACAGCTTTATTAGCAGAATCCAAGAGCTACAAATGCGTAACATAAAAAATAACCATTGCGATAAATAAGAATGATTTTCCACAATGTAGGTATGTCAATAGTTCCTTCATAAAACAGAGGTCAATCTCGATAACCATCAAATGCTATGCTATGCTTGTTAAGAGGATGAAAGGTCATGTGAATCTGGGGCCAAAACCTTCTGTACATATGCATTTATGGTAGCCATAATAAAGAAAACATTCAGATATATGTAAGATAAAACTAATAATAAATTCCCCAAATAAATACCCATATTTTATATCTGCAACTTTCCATGGTTTTCTTCTCTAAGGGGGCAGTCCGGTAGCCTAGTGGTTTAAGCGTTAGCTCGTCACGCCGAAGATCCGGGTTCGATTCCCGACATGGGTACAATGTATGAAGCCTATTTCTGATATTAGGCCGTGATATTGCTCAAAGCGGCGCAAAACAAACTCACTCACTCACTCTAACACCGAAGAGAAAACCTCTCACATTAACTTATTGATCTCCCATTTTGAAGGATATTTTATCTCCAAACTCCCAGATAAGTATTGCATTGAAATAAAAAAAAATCAGGGCAATTGTTTTATAGTAATAAGAATCATATACCATTTTGTCCGTTAGTACCGATGCTGGTAGTCTGGGAGCTGGGGGATTGCCAGGGGATCGATCCCCACCCAGTATATCCGTTGGGACCTCGTTATTAGACGCCCACTGCACCTGTGCAGCCTGTGCCTCCTTGAGAGCTATGAGTACATATGCGGTGAGGCCAACACCCGCCCCTGTACCACTCTGAAACCAAGGAGTACATTACATATAGCACTATGCTGCGAGATCAGCACTCGCCCTTGGTACCAATCTGAAACCAAGGAGTACATTGAATATACAGCACTATGCTGCGAGATCAACAATCGCTCTTGTACCACTCTGATATCAGGTTACACATTCAGAATAGATCACTCTGCTGTCAGGCCAACACCCGCCCCTGTACCAATCTGAAACCAAGGAGTACATTAAATATACAGCACTATGCTGCGAGATCAACAACCGCTCTTGTACCACTCTGATATCAGGTTGCACATTCTGAATAGATCACTCTGCTGTCAGGCCAACACCCACCCCTGTACCACTCTGATATCAGGTTACACATTCTGAATAGACCACTCTGTGGTCAGGCCAACACCCGCCCCTGTACCACTCTGATATCAGGTTGCACATTCTGAATAGATCACTATGCTGTCAGGCCAAAACCCGGCCCCGCTGAACAACTGTACCAGGGTATACAGTCACAATATATCAGAATGTTGTGAAACCATATAGCAGACTGACGAAAAAGTTTGGTTTCGGAAGAAATTATATGACATGATAACAACAATTTGTGCACTACAAACTATATAATAAAGCTACGGTTATCTTCACATTTTCCTTAGATTTGGTACCTAACCAAATATGCCCACATGTAAGGGTATTTCAGGTTAAAGCTGGGATAAAAGGCATCACACAACCTGCATTCTCTTATTGAAAACGTGTCCATCCTCCGGGAAGCTACCATCCTCTCCCTGCTGGCCGACTACCCACTGTAAGCCTTGAGACATCACGTTGGTGTCTATGACGTCTGGGATCCAAGGGTACGCCTGGGTAAAGCACTTCAATACAAACGCTGTGAGCCTGAAGAAGCCAATGTGCGACATTTACAGGTGGGAAAAGATTACGCACAGCTTAAAAAAACATTTCCATCTTATTTTAATTCTTTGTTGATTCTGTTTGTGGCATGCCAAGTATATCATTTGCATAAGGCCATCCATATTTGTATATGTGTGTTTCTCATCTCCGACCTCAGCGGGCGGACGAAATCAAATGTAAAATTTAACAAAAAAATGTCTTTCAATAATTTAAGTTATTTTGAGGCATATTTTATACAAATTTAAAACACTTGGTACTCGTTTATAAATTAAGTATTGAGGCGAGTCACTGTGCTTCGGAAACGAATTTTTAATAAACAGCTGAAGAAAGATAAAGTCGACATGGTTCTTTTTGACGGTACAATGATAGTAGTAAATAGATCGGTGCACGGGGCGGTGGTTAAAACGTTCGCGCGTCACGCTGAAGACCTGGGTTCGATTCTCCACATGGGCACAGTGTGTAAAGCCCATTTCTTGTGTCACCCGCCGTGTTATTGCTGGAATATTGCTAAAAGCGGCATCAAACCATACTCACTCACTAGATCGGTGCACACTTTCCACAGGGGCGGGAAAAAATGAGAAAACGAAACGTTATACTATTTCACTTCGGAAGGGAGATAAGGAAATCAGATAAAACATGCACAGCCTCACATACTTCGAAACGTGGTTTAGATAAATATTTTGTTCCCACTAGTTTTGTCATGTGCGTGAACATGGATTTCAACATTATTTGAATCAAGATTATTCAGGTCGCTGGCTACACGGATCATCATCTCTTGTAACTACTTCGACATGAACACATGTTTTGGTCTTGCAGCTTAAGGAACACTGTCGCACTCAGATGCATTTTTTCTCCATCTTTGACGAGTACCTGACATAATGTCAATGCCTCGACAATCTTCATGGTCAGTTGATTTCAACAATGTAATACACACAGCCTCATCACAAGATTCCTTCGACAGAGCCAACCACGTGATCAGGGATGAATTAATAAATTAATTTGTTTTTATAAGGAAAGAATTGATTTCGTGAATATTATTATAAACATGGCATTTTTTAATGCACTGCGGATTTGCTCTTATTCCGACCACGCGATTTTCCTAGCAACTTCGCCCCGAGCGGGCATCCGATTTGGATTACTGCTTACAACAGGTTACTGTCAAGTACTTTGCAGGATCGCTTGCCTTCAATATGAGCGTCAAAACATTTTCGTGTGATGGTCAGGGAAGCCTTTGGTTATTTCCTTTTTGACATTGATGACTCTATCGTGGAGAAATTGCCAGTTCAAGATAACATAGGTCCGGATGTCAACTCGAATCAACAAGATGGAGCCTCTCTTCCCGCCCTTAAGTGCAACTGAAACTTTGACAATTATTTGGCCGATTTTGGGGATTAGTGGAACAGTGTCACTGCTAGATTTCATAGTGGAACCAGATGAAGGCGAAGATGTCTGTTCACAGAGCTTTTGTCAACCATGCGTGACACAGCACAGGCAATCATGGTTACGGAATGGTACCTCCAAGTTCCCAGAAATTCGTCGATATGAAAACAACGTTACAAATACTTCTGGACTGAGCTGAGTAGAAGAAGTGTTCTAAATACTTGGATTTAAAGAAACGGATATTAAACGTAGCAGCATATGAAGGATTGGCGTGGACAAACGGGAAGCGATGCCAGATTTTGTTTTAAAACTTAGGCGCGAAGTGTATTCAAATCCACTGAAAAAACAACTGAAACATATTTTTATGAAAAATAACCATTTGGCTTAAATTCCATGCCATGAACCAATGTTATCAAATTGTTTTACAATTGTCCTGTTGAAGGCACATCTCAATTGTTATTCTACGCCTTGAAAATTCATATATCGGTGCAATGCATCCTCCTGAAGTATCAGGCGGACGATGTCTTAAGCCCCAATTGAACAACCGTCGGACCTTCCCACTAGGAGATAAATTGGAAAGAAAATCAAGCCTTTGCTTTAATTGGCGGATCATATATGAAACTATATTCCTGCCAGTAACGAAAGCGTCGTTAATGTAAGTAACAATGTCATGAAACATACCACATACTGCAGTTCCTGTTACCATAACTGTAAATAGCAGACTCTCCAAACGTAGAATAACACCCTTCTCTGTGTTTGTAGCGCAATTCTTGTTGGTATCCTACATAAAGTAAAGTAACATCAATTTGTTGAAAACAAGTCAGTTATGCAGTTACAAACATGTTAATGCGACTGTATCTATGCACCCACAAGCTATAAATGTTCATACAGCATACGCATCACCAGTGTTAAACCATCACCTTCATTTTGGTGAAATACAGGCCTACCACAACCTCATAAAATATGGAAGTATCTTGCCTCTAGTTAACATACTAAGATCGTGGAGGAATCTCCACTGATCACTAGCAGTCTAATTGCATCACTCCCGGTTTGGGAAAGAACAATTTTAAATCAGAAAGTCCCATTCCTCAAGCTAAATAATATGAAACATACAGACACTTCCGGTTGAATGATATTACTTCCGTCTGTGGAAATAAGTCATGCGCAGTGCAGACTCCAGAAATCTGTTTGAACCTGTTGTTTAATGACACTGACCCTCAATTTCAACCAATCACAGGCTTAAATACAACTTGTTATAAAAGTGAAGTCTAACTCTTACAATCATATAAATCTAAACAGTTGATTGATTCAGTACATAAAGAGCCAAAACTACCTTATGAAAGACCATTCGAGTGACTTTGACCTTCAATAAAGATATCTCAATGATCACTTCGGGTGTCCATCATAAGGAACATACATACCAATATTCATCACGCTACAGTCAACACTTTTTGAGTTTCAATTCATTTTCAGCGTGTGACATGGAAAGTGAATATAAACAAATATGACGTTCCAAGATGGAATTCAATGTAAAACTGAATTACAGCATATGCTACCGATTAATATGCCAATTACATTTCCCAGGACCCTAAAGGAGATGTACATGATATAATATCTAGGTCGTATTTGTATCTTTGTTGTGTAACGCAGTACTCAGCAATAATCCAGCTATATGACTGAGGTCTATATATAATGGACCAGATATGGACCAGATAATCCAGTGACTGATATTATGAGCAATGATCCACGACATCGGGATTTGGGGAAATTATTAAAAAAAAACATATAATAAATGCTGTTCATTGAATGAAGATCACCGTGGCCTTCTACTCATAAAGAGTTGGCATCACTTATTACAAGCTTACATACATATTATTAAAATTAAATAACCACTATGCATGGAAAAACGTGACCTTACACGTAAGTCTCTCACAGACTTTTCCGATAAAGTATTAACAAACGGGGAACATTGTTGAAACATGGGAAGCTATGCTTCGGAAAGACAAACCACAAACCGCCAAAGATCATAAGTATTTTGGGATCGTCTATTTCTCAAGACAAAAGCCGGTGAGATTTACATTGCCTGTAAATCCTGAAACAGTTTGTTGAAATCTCCTCGTTGCATGTATATAGCGGAGCAGTATCGTTACGAGCAAAGCAAGCATCAAAACCTATAGGTCTGATTAATAACTTGTTTTGTATTGGTAAAAAGGGTTCTAATATTCCCAGACATCTGAATATGCATATCTATTTGTTCCTGTCTTAATCATCTTAAAAATAGTTAGTATGTTTGTACAGACACCAGATGTAACAGCATACCTTTCTCCATATACGTTTCAATTGTGTCTTTAATGTGTGTGGTCAAACGCTGAGTTCTCTGCAGGTACTTCATGACGTAGATGTTTGGGGCAAATCTCACCATGTTCTGTTCTGCACAACCGCCAGGCATTCTGACTAGATTCTCAATATTTGTCAGAGAAGAACTGAGAATGTCACCTGTATACAACGTAAAACAAGCATACAGATGTATTTAACATACGTTTTGTTTCTAAATTGTCATCAGTGTCGAAGCTGTTGATATCTTACTTCTATCCTACTTTGTTACAAATGGTATTCCATAGATCTTATATAGGCTCCCTGCACAAACAAAATTAAATTGGTTTACAATACCTGCAACGCTGACTCTTAGTTTTTGTGACCCCTCGACGGTTTGTAGAGGGAAATCGACGGATGTGCTTTCCTGGAACGTTGAGGATCCCCGGAGATCGATCAGCCAAGCCTCGTTTTCTGTGCGCTCCAATCCTTCAGGCTTGAAGGCAGAAACCGATGTTTTAAAAGATTAAAGCGTTAAAATTCCATGCTAGTTGAGTATATCAGGATGGCTTTGCAAGCACTTGAAAAAACAAACAAACAGACCCTCGTCACTATTTCCACAAATCCCAACACGGTCTTCCGGTTTAAGACACATGGCTACCAGAGAAAATGTTCAAACCAGGAAAAAACCTATTTCATCCCAGCTAGCCACATGAGGAATCAAAATATACAATTGCCCGAGTATACCTTTAAATCAGGCTGTCCCTTTCCATCTAAATAACTTTAAAGTAAAATCGACAAAACCATTTCCATAATAAAAAGAAACTGTATCATAAACATGAATGAATTAGGTTTAACGCCTCTTTAAACAGTATTCCAATTATTTTACAGCGTATGAACTTAATGTGGGAGAAACGCTTGAAGTGATGCAGGTCTCAGAAGTTTATAGATGGTGACATCATATCATGTGTATACAAATCACTATTTAATAGTGATAACACAAGGTGTTCGCGAAAAAGTACGAGTATCCTACACCACCGGTGGCACCCGTCACAAACAATTGTTCACTTGCAAAAACACGGGAACGTATGGTACAAGTCGAGAAGCACCGGGAATCATTTTGGTGACTGGTGCTTCACATATGGAAAAAGTCCTCCACATGTCAACTATAAAACGTTTTGAAAGCTTTACTGAGGCCTTGAATCAAACAACATTGAAGGAAGAGTCACATGGCACTCTTTAAAATCTTATAGAAAGACCATGCTCGATTGTATCTCAAACTCGTGAAATGTAGATACCAAAGTCTGGAGCTCCTGGAATATTCTCAAGATAAAGGATAAAATGACTATTGTAAAGTTTAATTTATCTTATGTTGCCACCCAACCTTGTGGATAGTTCTTTGTCACTGTCTATGCATAGACCTAAATATAAAACAGATGTGGCGGTTTCACGGGCCTCTTGTATTTCTAGTTCAGGTGCGTAAATCAGAGGAAGGAAATATGTGTATATTTGATCATTATTGAACATTATCAGATCAACGCAATCTTAAGTTAAAGTACTTGGACAAATTGCCTTGTTTTGATTTTGCCAATCTAAGCAGAAATTTATATGTGCAAAGAAACAGATAAGTAAGAACATCCGTGTCAATGGGGATGCCTTCTTGCCAAAATGTCTTATCCCCAAATTGTACATAGATGCTAAGTAAACTTCAGATGATATTTGCTTTCAGATTAGACAAGTTGTCTTGAACCTTTCAAGATTGATATGTATCTATATTCATGGTCGCCTCCTTTATATCAAATTCCTCATGGATCAAGGAATTGAAGCTTATGGAGATTATTAGAAATCAAGCAAATCATTTGAGTTTTTGTGAATCAACACGGTATTAAGACCATTTGTCTCAAATACTTTCTGTGAATATATATGTAACAATATGTTTGTACTTTTTGGATTTTAAAGCATCATTCTATTTAACTAATAAGAATTAAAGTATTAAACTAAACCTAAATAATTAACATTTATTTCCGTAAATACTTGTCTCTGTTAATTTCCATACCTGCAAAGAGCTACTCATAGGTAAGCTAGTTTCTGAAAATAGCTTGTGTTGTTCAGATTATTACCCAACCGCGTTGACAGTTTTTGATGAAGTGCACTTCGCCCTCCATTTTTATCTTTTTATTGTACACAAGACCACTGGGATTTCTGGTCCTTCACAACATAGATGCTTTGTTTGCACTTGTCTGCCAGTTTGCGCTCCCCCCAAAATGCAAGCTGCTTCACAAAGACTCCATTGCTGAGAATAGCTCCTCTGACCTCGATGCCATTCCTACTCTTCTGTTACCCCCTGCAGGCTCTACGTGATGCATCTGATGCCAACTTGTAGGAGTCGGCAATGTGCTGGCGCAGATCTGTGATGTGGGTGGTGTCAGTTTGTCTACTTTGTGGAGAACCTTTTTCAAAAGCAATGTCGACAGGTAAACGTGGTTTTCTGCTAAACATAAGGAAAAAAGGATGCTCTCCAATAGGCATGGATTAGTAGTGCTACGTATAACTTCCAGTTGGTATTCTGGGATTGTTGCAAGGAACCCGACATACTTATCAGGTTACGATTAAATCTCTCTGTCAGCCCATTTCCCTGTGTGTGGTAAGGTGTGGTCCTACTCTTGTCCTGTCCTTGTCAAGCATGCACAGTTCCGTGATCAGGTTACTCAAATTGACACCTTGTTCTGCATGTAGTCTCTGAGGAAAAGCATTGTGTACAAAGAAGTTGTTGAATATGAATTCTGTGGTGGTCTTTGCCGTTATGTTCCTTGTAGGGTAGGCTCGAGCATATCTTGTGAAATGGTCAGTAAAAGTAAAGGTTGATATCCTCTCTTGGACATCGAGAATGTAAGATTGATGCCAGAGGTCTGCCTTCTGTTGGTGTTCTTCTGAACATCCATCACAGTCTTTTTATCTAGAATCTAGAGAATTGCACCTACTACTAGTGAACTTGAATCTTCATTAATTTCAAGTGTTTAATCTTCAAGTCTTTTGTTCTTGAAGCGATTTCCCGATTCACCGAGGGAGCCGATGTGAGAGAGGCCAAGCAATATTAGAGAAGTTCTTGACATATTGGTATTGAAGAACTACCTCTGAACTGATGAATTGGAGTTCCCATACATGCTAACCAACACCTGAGTTCTTCCTCAGTCTTACCTTTTGGTGTACCAGCTTCTTAAATACCTCATAAAAAAGACGCCAACTCTTTGGGACATAATGACAATGTAATGACAAAATTGCAAACGACTAAGACGTAAAGGTAATACCATCACAGGCAGTACCCTTTACAGCTTTATCCTACATGTACACCATAGAATGCTACAGCCAAACAATAAGTCTAAAGTGTACAGTTCAAACAGCGGAAAAACGAATAATTAAAATAAGAAGAATGCAGTATACAAGTATACTTAATGAAGTATCAACTTTACGTTAGCTATGGTCAAAACCCGTGAAGATCAGGGGTAGAATAGGTCTTAAGCACCCCATTTTTGTCATAAATGACGACTATTCTTGTCGTAAGAGGCGAGTAACGGGGTCGGGTGGCCAGGCTCGTTGACTTGGTTTGATGCATGTGGATCCATGTTCGTGAGTTCAATCACTGAATTGTCTGTTCCAGATTCGATTAGTTACAGACCGCCATCATTTAGCTGGAATATTGCTGAGTGCAAACAAACAAACAAAAGTTATGGTCAAGGATTATGTATGTAACAAAATAAGTTTAGTTGTCTCTTTATCTGACAACTTAATCCTTACTATAGTAATACAACCGGATATGACAGGTGAGTGTGTCATCCCATAGCAGGGCATGGAGGCATCCATAAATGGTATCATTATCTTGTCAGATTGCTGACGGGATTAACCTCTTTGGGCATGTGGTCAAGGATCAGAAGGTCCGTGGTTCGAATGCAATCAGGAGCTGGCGGAATTATGGTTAGGGGCGGCAATGGTGCTCCAGCTTTTGTTTTTCCTCCACAATAGAAGTGTTCATATTAATCCTCCAAAATGCCTAGACGGTGGCAATCATATCATCGTTGGTGGTAAAACTCTATCACACAGGGTTGATTTGACAGATTAAGGTCAGAGGACACTGTGCCAGAAGAGGGATAGGGAAGTAATTCAAAGCAACCAATTGCAACTACAGCCACCTACACAAGTGCAAGTTGCATTGTCCTGAAGCTTTAGCATACGTGAATGGAGCTTTTCATGCTTTTCTTAGCTGACACAATTCTGTGTCAGCATTGTAGTGTCCATTGACCGTCTGACCTCGATGCAGATGGTTAATCGTATTTATCCCGTTACTGTCCAGGAAATTCGTATCGATAACTTTGTAACCTGACACCACCTTCTTGTATTTCCTTGGGGGTTACCACTGTTTGTTCTGAGTACTGACTCACCCAGGGTTAAAATTCACATTTACTAGGATTCTTCGGATGACTGATCAATTGGTCCTTGGATACGTTCAGCTGAATCGGCAACTGATCTGGTGCCATCATTCTGAGTACCCATCTTGCAGATATTTCGCCCATGTGAATTGTGTCAGTTAGGATGGACTGAACTGATACAAAACCTATCCATTTTATGAAGGGCACCGTCTCCACATCATTATGCATAAATTCAGCAGCCCATTTCTTAACAGTTGAATATGAAAGGCAGTCAAGCCAAAGCGTGTTTTACATATCTTTTCTCCATTTCCGCATTTTCTTTCACCCCTGTAAACTTTTCTAGTTGACTTCTCGAAAGCAGATGTGGTTATCAGCCTGTGACTTAGTGTTATGTCTTTCGAAAGATCATATTCTTCTTATGTGTTGGAATCCCAAATTACACAAAGTAATGAGGCCAACACATTTTCGATTCCCCTTCGTTTACTATGAGAAAATGATTTCATGTTATTTTTTATGATTTCTTTTCATGCCAAGTTTGATTTAATGTCGGAACAATATTCAGGACGAAATATCGAATGTGTTACATGACCCTTTACAAATTGCCCAAACCACTGAAATATATGCGTATTTACCATAAAGATTTGCAACTGAAATTGTATTAAAACATTCAAAACACCTTTAATTACAACTCACCTCCACTCTCAGGGGTCTCCTCACGCCATCGCCAGGCACCCAGGACAATAAGTCCACCTCCAGTGTCACGTCACCGATCGCCATAGGCTTGATCACGAAATACACAGCGCGACCTTCACCTGCTGGTATCTGGACACAAGGTGCTCAAGATAAGATGTCACATAAGATGTGAGAACTTTACCTTGAATGTTGCCATTGGTTCATAATTGCACATCTTGTGTTATGAAATGTATTTTTTCTCTCGCAACTGTTTCCATGTGAACCAGGGCGTCATATATATATATATATATATATATATATATATATATATATATATATATGACATGCCGCTATATGTTTACACTATTACTTTATGTATGCTTTGGCTGACAGAAGTAGCATTTCATATTTGCAGGAAAGCAAATCTATGAAAAGAAAATGTAAAAGAAACCACCATCCCTCCCATAAGAGTCATAAAGTAAGGATAATAACCCTTGCTAGAAAAATAGGGAAGGGGATATTATTTTGAACTCATTCTAAACGAACATATTTCAAATCTATATCAATCTAAATTTGGAATGACACAGATCGTATCTGAATCTCAGCTATTTCTTGGTTCATCTGCAAAAAGTTACTCTTCAAAATATAGAACAAAGAGGTAAATAAAATTTACATCAATAGAATGTGATTGTTGAGTTGAGTATATGTCTTTTCCAGTTTCAACACCAGATGTTGCACTCAGAAAAATGTTGTGGAAGTCCTTGTTCCGTTTCAGAACTATGAGAACCTGCAATACAAATAAAACGATGAAAATATTTAATTGGAACAAAATATATATGGCGTTCGGAGTAGGTGAAAAATTGGGACTGATCTCTTCATCGTAAAGCACATGTGAGGTTTCCCGTTGAAAACTGTTGTAGGAAGAGTTTTCCAAGCATTCAACTATGTGATATCAATGTTTCATTTCCTTAAAAAACAATTGCACTTTCCACAGTTTCTGAAGGCATGTGTCAGTGTTTCAAAATATGGACATGATTGTTTTGAAAAACGGAAAAAACGTTCTCTTCATTTCATAACAAAGGTAGATACAAAATTCGTCCGCACACTTTGCTTTTTAATACGCAATTTACAGTTTACGTATTTGCAGCTGAATGCATTTTTCCATATCCCGACTACGATGAGATGGGTTACAGGAAGAACAGACCACCGGTATATACATGTAGCTGGAATATTGCAGATTGCGGCTTTAATCACCAAATTCACTCACTCACTCACTTACGGGCAGATCTCGGTCATGGTAGTTGAATGCTGTCGCCTGTAGTACCACCTCTTCTCCGCGAACAACAGAATACGGGAGCTCTAATCTCAGGAAAAGTTTACGTTCGGTTGTCAGCTGCGATAAAGAAATATATAATCCATTAACTAAAACATGTCTTCAGTCACACGAACAATACAAATAGGTCGCCTTTATAACTTAACAATTTTGAAATTAATGAGTAATGAATGGGCTGTAGTATCACTTACATTTGCAGTCCGGGTAGCGACAGCGAGTCCTTTTCCGGGATGCACAGCAAAGGCACTTGTGATCCACGTTGTGATAGTGTCAGGAGCTTGCAATGATAAGTCGCTTTGCCCAGAAGCACTGGATATATGGGATAAAGGTTCATTAGACGTGTCAGTGTAATTTCATGGACAAAGTCAAAATAGGCACAGACACATGTATACACAAATCTACATGCTGTGCCTTCTTTCATTTCTTTACTTCTCTTTGAACCTGAATTTCCAGTTGAATCATCAAACCAGTTGCTTCAGATCTAGTGCTAATATTAAGTTAATTTTAATACGTATATGGATAACAGTCGCTATACAGTGTGCACAAACTTACTGATATGTTGTCCATACAAACAAACAATTGGATTCTAATCCCTAAGGTTATGCTCAGTATAGTTAAGTGTTTTACCCAATAACCACCATGGTCCAAATCCACGTTTCCGGGAAATTAGTGCGTGTTCTCTCTACAGGTTTAAAGTTAGCTTGCTCAGGCACTGCAACTGACTGACGGCCCATCCCACCAGAGTCCATTCTATCATTCATTGCGTAAAGGCCACCATCTGAAATACGGATCACTCATGAAATTGAACAAATGACATACCCGTGAAGATCCGGGGTAGGATGGGTCTTCAGCAAACCCATGCTTGCCGTACAAGGCGACTTTGCTTGTCGTAAGACGCAACTAACGTGATCGGCTGGCCAGGCTCGCTGACTTGGTTGATGCATGTCATCGTATCCCAACTGCGTGGATCGATGCTCATGATGTCAATCACTGGGTTGTCTGGTCCAGACTCGATTATTTACAGACCGCCGTCATACAGATGACATATTGCTGAGTGCGGCGTTAAACACAAACAAAACGAAGTAATGACACATTCATGAAGCAGTCTATTTTCTTAAATTTCATGTGACTTTTGTGAATTACTTTTCACAATCGCATTTCCGAAATTTTACTCAGCTTTCAGTTTTCCTCAGATAAACAGACCCGACTGCTTAGATTGATAGTTTATTGCATCATAAATATAATAATAAAATTCAATTATCAACTAGAGCTATGGGTCGCAATCTATGGGGAAAGGGTGGAAACTCTGTCCGTTCCTTTCCTTTCCGTTCATTTTGCGCTAAAGACAGGCACCCCCCTCCCACACCCAACCCCCACACCCAAACGCACACACACTCCCTCCACATACGCCCTGCATGCCACAAACCCTCATTTTTGTAAAAAAACAATACTTCACGGTTTTGATATTTGTGGCAGTTCATATTTGGGGGAACATCTTATATAATTACAAACAAGAAAGTAATTTTTAATTCTGATAATCAAGCAGTAGTGCATAGGTCAACACCTATAATGGGTTTAGTCTGTTTGTTTACTCAAATGCTTGTTGCGTAACATAATCATGAAATTTCAATATATTCCAAGGTGCTCCAAAAGGATAACAGATTCTTTATCAGGTTTTCAGTTTCAGCAGTTTCAGGATCTAGGACCTCAGGCCTGTCCACAGCCAACCTCAATACCAGATTCGCTGTGGGAGATATGAAAGATGATGCTAACAGGCTTTTAAGTATATCAATATCTTCAAACATAAATAAGGCCACATGTTTTATATTTTTCATTTCACAGGCCCGCTGCACCTACTAAAATGCAGCTGGAAAAGAAATAAATTCAACATAAAAATATTTATTTTATTATTTCTCCCGCTAGTAATATAGACCCTCTTATATAATATAAAATGTTACATAAAAATCCCATGTCTACGTCACTATCAGGGATTCAAGAAACCAGCTGCAGTTTTAACGGCAGAATGACTTTCATATAAATAAATATATAAATAAATGAGTGACATAGCTATTTATATTTATTTTTATTTCAACCGGCTTAGTGGAAAAGCTGGAATAAATGCATGAAACATAAAATTTAAAAAGTGTGGCCTAAGGCGTACAGGTTTGCGTTGAATTGATTTCAACAGTTTCGTTTCAGAAATAACCTAGATTCGAGCCAGCCAGGTCTGATCCAGTGGAGCAGACAATACTTGTGATGGGGAGCATGTGAGTGGAGAAGAGTTCTCGTCACCGAGTTGATGGCATGACACATGTCTACAGGCGCACATGTGAACGTTACATCAGGTCATGTGTTCTGAAAGGGGGTCGTTATGAAGGTGGGGGCGTTATGATCTGGGGTGGGATAACAGCTGCAGCAAGGACGCCAATAATTGTGATTGAGGGGAACTTGAATATTGTGAGGTACCGTGACGAGATTTTGCAACAGAACGTCCCTGGAGTGACGTTGCAACACGATAACGCCAGTCCACACGTTGCTTGAGTTGTACAGCATTATCTTAATCAGAACAGCGTTAATGTGTTTCCCTGGCCCGCAAGATCCCATTTAACACGTCTGGGATGAAATGAAGCGACGTTTACGTTTACAACAGCGCTGCGGGAACTCCGCCAAACCTTTCTTCGCTTATATAATGCTCATCCCCAGCACTATCATCGACGTTTCGAGGCGGCAGTGAGGCGGAGGTGCGAGACCTGCATCGGTGCACAGGGTGGACACACTCGCTACTGACTGTGAACTTGCTTGTGAACCCCCTCTTGTTTTGCATATGCCCTACGCTGTTCTCATGGACTGTTGATCGTTACCATACCTTGGAACATTTGTCTTTCCATGTGATAACATTTCATTCGCGGCAGTAAAAGCTAACGCTGATTCTGTTTGTCGTTTGTATGTCACAATAACTTTTGCCTAAATACATCGGCATATGAGGTACAAACAGTAATTTACATAGTAGCGGACAGAGGTTAACCAGGTATGATGTTAACAAATTTACATAGTTTCTTTCTCTTCTGTAGATTTGTTATGGCAGTTAAATAATTCCTGGAATTGTAACATATGTGTCCTTTTGAATAGCATTTTGGAATGTACATTTCTCAGTATTCATCGAAATATTTACATTTAAAACTAAAGTGTAATTCATCTCCGCTCCAATGACATAAATATTCCATAATTTACATGAAAGTTCTTTCAACGGAGTTTTATTTAATTTTTCGGAGTTGGGAAGCGGTGACACTTTCTTACTTAGAACAACTCGATTAAGCTACAGAGTGTAAATATATGATCGGTGGTAGAATATTGACATGATTAGTATGCACATGATCTCGGGTTAGTCTTGCATCAAATATACGATTTGTCTTGATCAAAAATAAGATAAAGCAATGACAAATTTGAATAGACGAGACAATAACAGAATCGAAATGATGTATGTCAGGGCATCATCTGTTCAATTTGTTGGGCCCAATTTGTGAACGTTGGACCACGGGGTCACTGCGCCCGTTCTTTTTAAAGAAAACTATGTTATATTCCGATCACAGGAGTCGATAGCTCGAATGGTCTAACGTAATGTCATGGTAGAAACTACATCAATTGTTTTCTTTAACATGTACCCTTTCGATCGTTATTCGATCTTCAACAATTCATATGTACTTCAGTAGTACATGAACCTGAAGGGTAAGTCAAATGTTAAAATGAAGAGGGACTTTTATTTTAGTTTAATATAAGAACAATATGAAACGTACATCGTTTATGTTTATCTATTTATAAACTTTTATCAGAAGGGAACTTCACGCTACTATGCGCCTGAGATGATAGTTGGTCCTCACAATATGCGAAACAGCGGCTGATACGCGTGTACTAATAACGTCACCTATACTCACAGTTGTAGTATTCTTTATGTTCGTACACATTGGCATCGGTCACAACGGCAAGGTTAGCCCCCTTGATAATAAACAAAAAACAGACCTTTTAGTTGATGACTTCAACAAATCTTTTCAATGACTTTCGTGATGGTCAAACCTTCCATTTTACGGACAACAAACTATGTCATATCAGCATACCAGTATTGCTTGGTGCCTGTATGTCTGATGTGCGTAGTATAGCCTCGTTGATATGAAGTTAAATTTGAATGGAAACAGATACAGATACACTTCTCACACAAAATGAAGCAAGACTGGGGTTTATATGTGCTATGATCCTTTATCCCGCACACGACTGCACATAATACTTTATGTATGGGTTAAGAACATAACACACATAAATCTGAGTTGTTGTTAAGCACTAATCAAAATGAACTCTTACGGAAAATACTCCCTTGGTATCAGTACCCCCTGAAGAGCGAGGCAGCCAGCATCCACGGTACCACGTATCAAACCACCCAAAGTAGGAACCATAGTCATATGACATGAGCTCTCGAGAAACCTGCAATAGAAAATGTACCGTGATGTGATACAGCCTGTGAATACTGCACTGTTGAAATGTATCTTTGGACAATTATACAATTTTATTGATGGCAATTTCTAGTTTCTTGAATTTAGCGACGTTGCGAGGTAGATTCTTACACCCTTATCAATCTGGAGTGATTACAGACAAGGAATGAGAGGTAACAAAATGTATTGTGATAAGCAGCAGATTATTATTAACAACAACAGGTTATCGATTACAAAAACCGATCGGGGAAACCATCTTGTTTCCGAAAACCCGTACCGGCTTTTGTTTTCGATCTGGAATCCTAAACTGTCCCTTGCTAGAACAACATTTTACTTTGATGAGAAGTAAAAGGTCACGCAGTGACATTTGTAAACATTACCTCTTAAATCTTTTTTGCATTTCGGCGTGTATTCTGGTTCCTTTATGTTTTGTTTATGTCAGGATACAAATTGTCATTTAATACATTAAAGAAATGTGACAGTGACTGTGTACAACTTGAAACTTTATGTATATAAGAATCTCTCTGGATGTGATGACAATTTAGAAACTATAGAAATAACAGTTAACCGCCAATTATTTTATGAGATACGTAAAATGTAAATATGAAGTAATCTAGTTATTAAAACTTGAATAACTTGAAACTATCAAAACAGAAAAAGAGGGATTAAAATCAAAACTAAATATCTTATGAATTTTGAAAACAGATATTTTGTAAAGATTAATATAACACAAATCATAAAAGATATCATCTTGACAACAAAATATGATATATCAAAGGAATGATCTTTTATGAAAATCTGTACAAAAGTAATTACGCGGAAGATTTGCACTTGTATTTAGATATATTTACAAATGGTGATGTATAACACAAATGATAGAAGGTAATTTTGTGAAAGATCACATACTCTAGAAGAGAGTGCACCATCGTTAGAAACATGAAAACTAGAAAAATAGCTCAGGTAAATATTTGGCGAAAAATTGTGTAAATATTCCTTGAAAGATATACGTATGTTTCTATGGGGATCGATCACAGATATTTGAAAAAAATGGTTTCTGTCGGACTTTCAAATATAAATTATTATCGCAGGTATCCCAAAACATTCCCGTGATATACCATATAAAAAAGCTAGGTCTCTTAAATGTCCACAATAAAATCGCATCAGGGGCTATCGCCTTACGCCTAAAATAGGCCCTCCCAGATATGATTCGTGAAACAGAAACATGTTCAAAAAATTCATTAAGTGGAGGAAATAGTAAAATACTTCATGATTTGATGAATTATTGTCAGAAACATAAAATACCTGGTATTTGAATTGATTTTGAGAAATCTTTTTGACACTTTAGCCACCTTACCTCTTCGTCGCATGTATGGCGTTATTTGCTCTTGCAATAAAATCTAATCAGTGTGATAATGGTATAGACTTTAAAGTGTAGAACACTTTATTTTCCTGTACGAAGATGAAACTGAGTATACCTTAGACGGGTCTGAAGGGGGGCTCTCAGAACTGATCGCTGTTTTTTAATAAGGTTTGCTACAGTACATGTTTCTGGTTTTCATTTTGAACCGTGATAAAACCTTAGTCAAACAACTCTGTCCGCATATACCTCTACGTTGATCTATTCAAAATCATTGGAGTAATGTTTTCAATTCACATACAAGAAAGGATTTTATTAAATGTTAAAACATAGTTTTCGAAACTTAGACACTTTTTTTTAATGATCAGATAGATCATTACTTCATCATCCCCATTCCACACATCTTATTATGGTGCTTTGAAACCCATCTTTTTGTAAATATAAGTATATGAAAGTGAAAATATGCGTCTCAGGGGTTATGGCGACACTTAGCACATAAATCGTTAACCATGTGGGAAGATACTAAATTGTTTAATTTTCAAAGAGACAAATTGGAAATGTACTCCAAAAATATTAGCAATTTTCAGCCCAAAGATCTTCAAGCTGTAGAAGAATTCGTGGCATAGCCTATTTTGAATTTTGTACCACTAAGTGATATCAGTTTCAATATAATTAAAATCAAATCTTAGTTCTCGCTACTGCAAAACAAGCGCGACCTAAGATTTTTAACACAGGCAACCAGAAATCTCGACGAAACGTATCTCCCTTTCTTCAGGATTTTACATCATATACCGAAAAAATGGGTTCGTCATGAAAGAAATACATCCATATACAGGGACTAACAAAAGCAGTCATATACACTCAGTTTTGTGAAAACCAAGGACTATCATCAGACAACCTTCGACAAGACTAAAATGACTTTATATGATGATTTTCTGGGTGATTATTTTCAGTTTTCTTCTGTACAAATTTGTAAATATTACAATGAATTGTATAATTATATACTTATCCTATCTCACACTATACATTTCTCATTCTTCTTTCGACATTAAGTGGAAACGTGCCTAAACAAAGGTTTCCAGCTTCGGAAAAAACAATTCACCCCCACACACCTAGCATCACATTCGTCACCGCCCAACAATCTGGATCATGCACGCATTTCATACTGGTCGACATACACGAGCTGAACACGTGATTTCCCCAGCTCTTTCTAGAGCTTAATAGGCTAAACGAATTGTGAACCAAAGTGAGTAAAACTGTCTTGTGTCATAAGACAGCTCATGGGTTGGGATGAAACACCCCAAAAGAGTGTTGTCACCTTGATACGTGAACAGAGGAAAACCACATGAAGTTCATTTGTAAGCGAGCGTAATTGTAAAGCCAAACAATATGATGCACGACTTTTAATCGATTAGGAAATGGAATCCAGCCAATCGACTCTACAAGACAAGGGTATCACTATTTTTCATGGACGATAAAAAAACAACCTCAACCATGTCTCAGGGATTGAATGTTAGTTAAAGACGAGAAGAGAAACGATCGCCCATATCCAGAAAAGCAGAGGTGAATGGAATAGAGGATCGGGACACCGAGATTCGGCCGAGCCTGAATACATCCTCCTATCGGATACTCAGTCTGGGAAAACCCGAAAAGTTACAATAAACTTAAAAGAGACATGGAGAAGGACAAAGAAGTACAACAAACTGGATCGGGTACACGTCTCAACATATCTGTGCAAATGTGTCCTGGAGACTTGTGCGAGAGGCAATGATGCGAGTTTCGTGAGGGATGGAAGCAGCCAGAGCATGGAGGCCAGGAAAGGTATAAGCTCGGAGAACAACCGAATCAATCCCAAAACGAAATCGTGGTACAGGAAACGTCCTTTACAGCTGTCTTAGAAAGTGGGATAAACTGTCTCTTACTGGAACGCCGAAATGGTTTCGCCGCATCAAAATAGATCTGAAGCGCACTTACGGGACACAGGATACGTCTTCAAGATCCTCAGGATTCAAGATGGACGTCAAAGGTGCGAATCAAATCAAGTTGTCCAGGAAATTGATTTTGGTGATGAAATCCCCTCTCAAGCCTAGGAAAACGTTCCCATGTTCACGCATGAAAGCATGATTCTCATTCACTCGAGCAGCCTTTGCGAGAGCCAGGAGAAAGTTTTATGCGTGATGTGTTCGAACTCCTTCTTGGCAAGTGGTTCATAATCAGCCGAAGTTAGACGACGAAGTATGATGTTAAAATCCCAGGTGGGTGTAAAACCGAGATGACTGGTCTGCCGACTTGAAAGACCGAATTAATGATTGCAGTCCAGCAAACATAGATATATTTGCACCACTGCCCTGCCACTTGCAGTTCCTGTAAATGAGTTCCCAAACCCACCATTGAGGCGTCGACGAAGATATGCAAATGGCCACAACAAGACACCTTTGCAGACGTTCAATGGAATCAGCCACCACTGGAGAAAATAGAATCGTTGTTCTGGTGGTAGGGCTTGAGAAAAACACTGAATTGCGTGCAGGTGAAGTTGAGAGCATGTGCTGACATCAGGAGACCGAGACATTGTTGCAATTGAGGCACAGAGAGAGTGACTGTCTGAGTGCAAATGTTACAAAGTGTTGAATGTTCATCCAGCGATCCTTGGGCATGTACATCTTGCCTAGGTGCATGTCGATCAGGACCCCGATAAACTGAATACGCTGTTCAGTTGGAATCATTTCGGATTTTTAGAAGTTGATGAAGAAGATACTGCGAGAAGTTGAGATATGACTGGATCTTCGTTGGCCTTGTACGTAGTAACACGATTGACGTTATACGGAAATTTGGATGTACCTCTAGATATATTTATCTGTAAAAGAGCGCCGATCTTGAGATGTTCGCTGACCCTAATAAACAATGTGATCTGGGGAGGAGTCATGATCTTTGGAGGGATGGCGAGTCTAAGAAGATCGCCAATCACATGATCGGCGAGCCACAGATTGCCGATCCCGATCCGGGATTGAGGTTAAATCATTAGAATTCCATGATTCTACGTGGAAGACTTGTGTGGAAGACTGTAGTGTCACTAGAGCATCTGGAACAGTCACAGTAGGTGGACATTAAACCAGTGCATTGAAGACAAAAAGTGCCATCCGAATCCTAAAAGATGGTACTTGTTGTTACCCTGTCTGGGGCTCGGCATTAAGGGGCTAAAACAAGGACTAGTCGGCTCTAGAGGGTTCGATCGAAGACGCAGTCTGAGGGATGCCATTAAGCTTGACATTTTCAGCAACAGACGAGGGCGACGAAGAAACAATACAATCTCCGGTAGGCTTGGTAGCAGTAAAAGGGGTCGCGGTTAACTGTGAAGAAAATACAGATCCATCTTCACTGAAAGAACTTTCCGTACATCCGATCCCGATCGCCGAAACTGATGAAGGTGGAATCCTTGGAAATATTCATGTAAATCTTTATTTGAATGTGAACTGTATATAACAGATGTAAGGTATGTATGTTACTCTGTTAAAATGTAAATCATATATGAATTATTGCCCATGTTAAGCAGTAGAAGGTAATTTGTACTTGCAAGAATATAAAACTAACTCGACTTGTATATTGGCTGCAGCATACGTTTGTACATCTTCAAAATACACCAAAATTGTTTAAGTTCTAAGATGTATCAAAGAAGATATTAAGATGCACCTATAAATGTTAAAGGCCTGGAATTCTGAGTAAACTGAATCTGAATGTTTTTCATTTTTACTCCCATTTCTCTCTCATTCTCTCTCTCGCTCTCTCACTCTCTCTCTCTCCCTCTCTTATCATGACATTAAAAAGTATGAAATAATCAATTGTCATCTGTTGTCTGTAAGATGATGGTTAGGCCCCGAATTGTTATAATGTTAAATCTTTAAATAATACGTTTCAAATCAACCTACCATCTCTTCTGTAATATCATTTCCGTCTTTGAGTAGCAGGACACTCTTGTCCCGACCCAGGAGGAACACCAGAGAGTCGGGGTCAGCGTGCACTCTCATATCCACTGCTGCTCCAGGTTTCACGCTCCGTCGGTCAAACTCGACACGCACCTGTCAGACAGTCAACATACTCATTCACAATTGACAGTCTGCTAATAAATATGATGCTATGAACAATGCATTTGAAAGACCTGGTACAGTGACAAGACCGAATAACTACGCATAATTGTTACTATTGTGACCAGCCAATGCAGTGCACTGCAAGAACACTTAGGTCGATGCTCATGATGTCAATCACTGGATTGTCTGGTCCAAACTCGATTATTTACAGACCGCCGTCATATAGGTGGAATATTGCTGAGTGTGGCGTTAAACAACAAACTTGGACCTACATACCACACCATCTGCCCGAAGTCAGGAATACGGTTTTTCTGACTTGTCGAACGAGAAGCCAAACTTTGATGTCGTGTTGTATGGCAGACAGACAGGTGTAACATCAATGAACAACATTTCAGATTTATAGTTATTATTGTATGCGAGTGAAGACTAAGAATGAATGAACATGTTCCTGTTCAGACCATATTATTTTTATGTATTCTTGTATAGTGCATATTGTGATAATAACATGATTTCTCCAGGAATTAATGTGCCATTGCCAAATCCCAAACTCGATAAAAAAAATAAGAAACACTGCAAACTAGAGAAAAACCGTCATCTTACATTGTTATCAAATGTTCCATCCACTTTAATGGATATAGCATCAGCAACAATTTCACCATCAGCATGCTTATAGTACACAACAATCTGAGGGTTAGGGGCCATCTCGGCTGTCATACGTATGGCGAAGATGTTGCTTGATGATGGAGTAGGGACAGATGCATCCTGTACAGCAACAGTGCGGCCTCTAGACAACACCTGCAACACATGCATAGGTATGAGTCGTGTGTTATTCAATTAGATATTGTATATTTTATGGACACAGTATCAGTGTTTATACTAACACATGAAAACGGCCGTTTGATGTTATATTGCTTGTTCACTGCAAATTATATAAACTATGAACAGACGGCTTTATAGGTAAATATGTTAATTAGGGAATAAACATGCTGTGTTTTCAAAGTTGAGCTAGGTTACCTTGTTTCAAAAGTTAAATTTTACGCGGTTAAATCCACAGGTAACCTTGACTCTACATTGAAAACACAAAACCATGGAAAAATACACGAACTCTTTGGTGTCAGTAAATGTACTACTATACGCTCGTGTGAAGCTTCATGGGCCAAGTCCACTGTTTGTAGCGTGTTGCCGATCTGAATTGAGGAAACGACGACAACACCCCTTGAGCATAATATGGACCTGAATATGTCTTTTTAATACAGTAATACGCCACTAGAACATATGACAGGCATTGAAAGCATCTAGCACAGCAACTCAGTTAGCCAACATGTAGTGGGCACCCTTAAAGAAAACTAAGCAAGCCTTGTACGGTTTTCTCATACACCAAACGTCACTATTATGACGTCACATCGGTCATTGTGTCGCAAAATATATGACATCACAGTCTGCTAAATGGTAAGCTTTCTGTTGTCACCAAACTTGATATACACCCTCTCAGTCGATTCTGTCTTCTTCCCACAATTTATCCTCACACATACCTTGAATATTTAGTTACGGCATCTCTAGTTACTTACAAAAGAAGAGCTTCAGAATATTTTCTTTCGTAGTTATTCGGTTATCCACAAGATTTTTGACACGCAAATTCTATCTTGTATTTCGGTAAGTCTCGATTCTTCAGAGGAATCAAATGAACTCTACTTGAAACAGCCAATTTGATGACCGAATATATGGGTCTATCCTCGTAGGTAAAGGCAGATATGGTTTCGGTGATATACCTCTTAGGAAAACAGAGAATACAACACTCATTCTCGTTTGATACCATATTTCACGAAACTAGTGGACTTTCAAGGGTATCTGACCAAGTGAAACAAATTTCGTTCGTTAACACACCAAACTGAAACCGGTTGCAAATCTGCTTGCTCATGAATATTAATATATGCCCAAATATGGGCATTGTTGACATTTCTATGCCTACGCATTAACAACATGTTCCTGCTGTTGTGTGTGCAAATATGAAAGCAACAACGCTATAGATATTATTTTAAGCATTTCTTCAACTTATGGTAAATCAAATATTGTTAGTACGCAGGACAACTGTAAGTAAACATAAAAAGTCAATTAACGCCGCGCCTTGAATTTCGGACCAACACAATGTCACTCGTACCGACGGTGTCGCGGCTGTGCAATCAAAATATACTGAAACGCATTTAAAACGCACCAGAGGTAAAAAGTGAAATAGACGATAAACAAATTTTATATGGGGTTGGTTGTGCAGTACAATCACACTTAGATAGCATAGCTCATTAGTAATGAAATTTGGCATTGGAAAGTATACAAATTTAATGTAGAGGAAATGGAACACGCAAGGGGTCCAAAGACAAAGTCAGTACCGGGTATGACCATCCCTGGTAGCAATGCATGCCCCATAACGCCTTCTAATGGACACTATCAGTCTTGATAACAGCTTGTGGTCTTACGCTTCTCACGTTGCAGGACAAGTGCGAGCTCTCTAACGTTGATGTGCAACGCGCTGTCCCAGGTAGATCGAGAGATAGTGCAGGCCGTGGCATAACAGGTACGCCTTTCTATGCCAGGAAGTCCATAGAAGCACGTGCTGTATGTGCTCCGGCGTCCTGTTGGAAAGTATTCATTTCTTGGTGTTGACGGAAACAGAGGACAACGTGACGTTTTAAAAATGGCGTTCTTGTAGTAAACTGCATTAACACGACCTATGCATACATGGATCTCATCAAACCATCACACTTCCGCCGCCTCATCGATCATCAGTCTGAATGATCATCGTGACAACGTTTACCATGGCGACGCCGTACCCGTATACGTCCGTCGGCGTTCCTGAGGTGAAATCTAGATTCGTCAGAAAAAAACCCGCCATGCCAGCGTCGAAAAAACCGTTGGCTGTGCCGTGTAGACGTGCATTTCTGTGCCTTAGCGTCAGAATCGGGTTAAGGAAAGGGTGACGACACGTTCCCGTTCCTCAAGTGTCAATCTCGGCTTTGCGTCCTCAGTGCTATTCCGCGGCTACACCGATTAAGCGGGAAGCCTTTGAATGCCATCCCTTTATACCCCATTTCTGCACGAAAAGGTAACGACGTTTCGTATTTTTCGTGCTTTGTAAAATCGTGTTTTTGAGTACCGTTCTCTACTGCGTTTTGGTGACGACTCACAACGGCTGTCAAACTTGAGAACAGTTTTGGAGCTTCCTTGAGTCCTAACATGGTGTATTTTCGTTTGTTCTTTGCCAACTATCGTGATATTTTCATGGATCCATGTTGGTGCGTTATCAAAGCGAGTCAGTATAGTTGGGTTTCCTTGAATTTACATCCTGGCCGTACCATTTGGATGAAGGAAATCAGATTGCTCGCCAAAGACGTTAACTGTACGACCCTATACTGAAGACATAAAAATCAACAAACTCAAATCTGCTTACTTGTCAGTGACAGCTTCGAACAAAGGGCAAGGTCACCATTGAAAGAAGAAAAGACAGTTGTGATCTACTCACAACGTTTTACGTTTGAGATCATCAACAGAGCTTGTTATTGTTCACATTCGGGGTTTAGTATCTTCCCGCCTGTATCTTACGTGGGTAATAAGACAGATATGGGTTAGATATACCTGGTAGGTAAAGGAAAATACGCGTTAAGTGATAAACATGTATCTGGTAGGTAAAGGCAGACATGCGTTAAATGATGTACCTGGTAGGTAGAGGTAGACATGCGTTAAGTGATGTGTGCGAGTTAAAGGTAGATATGGGTTTTGTGATATACCTGGTAGGTAAAGGCAGATAAAGGTTAAGTTATATACCTTGCAGATAAAGGCAGATATGCGTTGAAAGTTAAGACGGATATGGGTTAGAGAGATATAGTTGGTAAAACCAGGTATGGGTTTAATGCTAGATAAAAGCAGATATACGTTGAAAGTTAAGACGGATATGGGTTAGAGACATATAGTTGGTAAAACCAGGTATGGATTTAATGCTAGATAAAAACAGATATGCGTTGAAAGTTAAGACGGATATGGGTTAGAGACATACAGTTAGGAAAACCAGGTATGGGTTTAATGCTAGATAAAGGCAGATATGAGCTAGTCATATACCTGCTAGGCAAAAATAGTTATGGGTTAGTGATATTAACTAGTAGGTTAAAGAAGGCGTGGGTTTAATGATGTACCTGGTATGTAAGGTCAAGTATGGGTGCAGCGATATACCTGCCAGGGAAGGTCAGGTGTGGGTTTAGTGAAATACCTGGTGGCTAAAGGCAAATTTGGGTTAGAGTTATATAGTTAGCAGGTAAAAGCAGGTATAGGTTTTATGATACACCTGATATGTAAAGGCAGATTCTGGTTTAGTGATATAAACGGTAGGTAAAGGCAGATATGGGTTAAGTTATATACCTGGTAGGTAAAGTGAGTGAGTGAGTGAGTGAGTTTGGTTTTACGCCGCTTTTAGCAATATTCCAGCAATATCACGGCGGGGACACCAGAAATGGGCTTCACACATTGTACCCATGTCGGGAAACGAACCCGGGTCTCCGGCGTGACGACCGAATGCTTTAACCACTAGGCTACCCGACCACCCCTTGGTAGGTAAAGGCAGATATGGGTTAAGTTATATACCTGGTAGGTAAAGGCAGATATGGGTTAAGTTATATACCTGGTTGGTAAAGGCAGATATGGGTTAAGTTATATACCTGGTAGGTAAAGGCAGATATGGGTTAAGTTATATACCTGGTTGGTAAAGGCAGATATGGGTTAAGTTATATACCTGGTTGGTAAAGGCAGATATGGGTTAAGTTATATACCTGGTTGGTAAAGGCAGATATGGGTTAAGTTATATACCTGGTTGGTAAAGGCAGATATGGGTTAAGTTATATACCTGGTTGGTAAAGGCAGATATGGGTTAAGTTATATACCTGGTTGGTAAAGGCAGATATGGGTTAAGTTATATACCTGGTTGGTAAAGGCAGATATGGGTTAAGTTATATACCTGGTAGGTAAAGGCAGATATGGGTTGTGTGGATCTTAACTGGAATTCCATGCTGTCACCGACCTGATAAGATAAAGAGATATGGTTATAAGGTCACTTCCTTCTGAAATGTCATTGGCACGTTGTTTAGAACACAAGATGTATAGACATCAATCAAATATATGACAGATTTATTGAATCACAATCGTTGAATGAATACAATATATCAATATAGTGAGTGCAAAATAAATTGAACCATTTAAATAGAAAATGAAATGCAATTATCAGCGCTTACTTGTTATATTGACGTGAGTGGTTACCGCAGAGACCACAAAATAGATTTTCTGGTCTCTGGTTACCGTTACCACCTACCCGAGTTTCGGCATTTGGCACAGTGAGCTGAATATAACTATCAGTGGGTGAATGACTCTTGCTGGCATATCTATATGCCTGGGTGTTAAAACCTTCAGCCTGAAAGAAGACACATCAGACCAATTAACTATCTGACTACATGTCTTTTAACGTTATACTGAGTACTATGTTATTTTACAGAACGAATGGCCTGGGCATCAATGACTACTTAAAGACCTAAACACATTCACATTGGGTACCGAGGAGCAGAAAAAACAGCCATTCCTCTCAGATGGTTTTTGCATATCATTGATTTTCAATTGAAAATATCTTCAGTGCTATTATGATCTGTTCTGGTACTTAGCGGTTAAAATGGATATTTTTTTGAAAATATGATTTAACTTAAAACTTTCAAAACTTGGAAACAACTTTCACACAATACATAACTGCCGCAGGGTATCTTTTTCGGCACACATTTTAAACATGGTAGGAATCATATGGTTGCAAATTCATTTCATACACACGTATTCAATGAACCAGTGAGTTTCCCAGACACAGATCACCTTTTACAAATTGTTGCAGGAATAAGTAATATTATTGTTTAAAAGTAGACACAATCAAAGTTAACAAAAATTCTTTCAATTTAAATCACATAAAGAATAAACTCATTATTCAAGAGTGAAATGAAACATAGCAAATACACAGTTCTTTAAAGTAAAATAGTGCTTTTTCAATATTACAATTCAAAAGAAGATTTCAACTGGAACTACTTTTTTCAAATAGGGATCTGATAAATACTAACTACTTGGCAAATTAATCAGTGAGGGACACTTCGGGGTTGTGTGCCAAACAAGTGAAGCTCCGCATGGGCAGCAAGGAGATAGACGTACACTTGAGTACCTTACTCTCTGTGCTCATCTTGACCTGCTTGTCGAGGTATTTAATGCGTCCTCGTTCCAGAAGGAAACACAGAGGAGAGCCTGCCCAGTTGCTAGCAACTTGTGATTCATTATATATGCACAAAACTGAATGTGGTCCTGCTCTCTCGATCTAAACCGGTGCAGTGACAACGCGTTTGTGATCGATATGTGTTTCGACTGCACCTTCGCTGTGGTCTAATATAACGAGGTATTTTAGCACATTTCAGTACTTTAGTCAATGAGTCAACTATCACATTCTCTAGCACACGGCTTACGGTCAAGTAGGCATTACTTTTAAATTGCTTTAATAATGATTACTATGATTACTAAAACCATTAAACAAATTACGCTTATTATGTATTCCCTTCATCCGAACCGAGCACACCAATGTCACAGAGAACAAGTGATGATAAGATATCAGGATAATAGGTACTATCAAAACCAAGGCTGATTAATCGTAGCAGCACAAATTTTTATGTCAATGTAGACTCTCATATAACTTTAAGATTTTGGAAACCATCAGTAAGTAAAAACACGAATCTGAAGTTGGATAATTATGTTAGAAAAGAGAAAACAATTGAAAACTAGTAATCAAGGGTTCTAATGCACTCCCGTAGATAGGGAGTTCCTGTATGAAGCCTATTTTCCAGGCCACAATAAGATGCTTTACATTTATCATGCTGCATCTTTGTCTGGAGCTACAGACAGGATATGGCTTCTGTCCTTACTGTCTATTGCCTGGCTTTACATTTAAACGCATAATTAGGAAACTTATTATATTAGATCAGTCAATCGTTAATACATGTAGTTGCCGTGTAGTACAATCAAGGGAGGCCGAGCATGTCCGAACATGTACAATTTACAACGGCAAGAGGTCACTGTGACATTGTCACGATGACACCTAGAAACGAGGACATATAAAATATATCCGCAAGCTCGACCAAGTGCGATATTGTGCATGTTTCACAAAATGCCACTGGGTAGGCTCGACAAGCTGTTCAAGGTCGATGAGTGCATAAAGTAGTAGGTAACGCTTGAGCAAATGAGCTTATTTTGGCAAATTTACTTCAAGCATCCCTCGCCATTTAATTTGTCAAGTAGTTAATTTTAATGAGATTCCAAGTTACAAAAACAGTCCCAGTTAAAATTAGACCGTTGTCATCAAAGTCATAAAGTCTTCACATAATAAGTATCGATTGTGTCCTAAACATATATTCATCATGGCTGAAATATAATGAAATGTTCTTACTTAATTACATTATAATTATTGAGTAATAATAATATAAGATGTCATGCGTAACTTTCTTCGAGAGAAAGTAATCTGATCCTTTTAAAGACAAAGTGATTTGTAAACTAGTAAGAATTGTATAAAAGCAAAACGTTTTGATGAATAACAAATACGATAATCCGTCATTTTATGAGTTGTGAGTATACTTTGCCAAAGGATGATCTGAACATGCATTCATAAAATAGTTTTGCAACAAAGAAGACTAGTCTGAAGCGCTTAAAAATATAATTGTTGTAGTCATGAACCTTCATAACATACATAACATTGATATTGCTAGTTAAAATAGTTTGGAGATCCTCGTGAACTTTAGCATTGATCATCTGTAACCCATGCTTGGTGTAAAGAGGCGACTAACGGGATCGAGTGGTCAGGCTCGCTGAGTTGGTTGGCGCATGTAGAACGAGTCTCATTGATGGTCCAGACTTGATTATTTACAGGCCGTTGTCATATGGCTGGATTCTTGATGAGTGTGGCGTTAAATTTAACATCAAGCAAAACGAAAGAAATTTGGAGAAGAGTGTTAATTCAACAGCTAACGACAATCGACCTACAGTTTTTGTTTGTGTACGATATATTTAACATGACTGATATTCAATACAAATCTTAAAGCTTTGACACTAATACTCTCTGGCGAAGCAATAACCAATTCTTTGGTTTACCTTCAAAGTAATGCTTTCCGCATCAGTTGGTATGTTCGCCTTAATTTCAGCGAGGCCGGTTTTGGGGTTAAACTTGACCAGGTTGGTGGAGAGCACAACTGCCTTGTAGCGGGGGTAATAACCAGGCAGGCCACGTGTGAAGTCTGGGTCAACCATAGTGATGGGTGGTAGAGGGCGTCCTGAACCCGTCGTTCCATTACCTTCCAGCACCATGTCTGGTGTAGGTTTGGGCCTGGTGGTAGTGGTGGTTGTGGTGGTAGGTGGAGCCGGTGTGGTTGGCAGGAGCACTTGATAGGTGATTGTTACATTAACGTCTTCCAGATCAGATGGCGACACAAGTTTGTCGTCCTGCTGGCTTACTTGTAACTGTAACAGAAAACAATATCATCAAAACATTGGTCGATACAATGTTTTGACCTACGATGGCGCAAGCATGGATTTCCCTTTTTGCAAGAAACAGTCATGCCTTAAACTACAATATCGATCAAGCAGCAAGGCGAGGGAGTGCTTCTTGTAAGCAAATCCGTCTCATTCCGCTAAAATTGAATATAATTCCTTTCTGCACATAAAATGTTTTGGATAACCTCATATTATTTTAAACTTTCTTTCATGAATTTGTCATTGTAATGTTTAATATGATTATTAATTTGGATTGTTGTTAAATGCTTTCAAATAAAGTTTCGAGAGAGAATCGATAGTGCCAGCATGAAAGAATGAATAGAGCATTTTCTTTCAACCATGCATTTGCCTTTCAAACTACATCATTGTCAATAACAATAGGAATGGAGGAAACTGAGGAGAAAGGTGATTAGACAGATATGTACCAGCTTTCTGAGTTTTAGTGAGTTCGATACTGAGTTCGACGTCACGCAGCCAGATGTTTCTCCCCGAATAGAAACACATCGGATTTTGGTCACCTTACTCACAATACACTAAGTTAAATCTTACTCACTAAGTTAAATGATAATTACAAAGTAAAATCGTCTCACTTTACACTGGTACGTCAGATGTTACTCACTATACACTGGTACGTCAAATAATACTCACTATACACTGGTACATCAAATGTTACTCACTATACACTGGTACGTCAAATGTTACTCGGTATACACTGGTACGTCAAGTGTTACTCACTATACACTGGTACGTCAAATGTTACTCACTATACACTGGTACGTCAAATGTTACACACTATACACTGGTACGTCAAATGTTACTCAGTATACACTGGTACGTCAAATGTTACACACTTTAAACTGGTACATCAAATGTTATTCACTATACATTGGTACGTCAAATGTTATTCATTATACACTGGTACGTCAAATGTTACACACTTTACACTGGTACATCAAATGTTATTCACTATACATGGGTACGTCAAATGTTACCCACTATACACTGGTACGTCAGATGTTACTCACTATACACTGGTACGTCAAATGGTACTCACTTTACACTGGTACATCAAATGTTACTCACTATACACTGGTACGTCAAATGTTACTCACTATACAATGGTACGTCAAATGTTACTCACTTTACACTGTTCCATCAAATGTTACTCGCTATACACTGGTACATCAAATGTTACTCGCTATACACTGGTACATCAAATGTTACTCTCTATACACTGGTACGTCAAATGTTACTATACCTGTGTACGACAGATGTAACTCACTATATACTGATATGCCATATTTATACACAATACATGTAAAATGTTACTTAATATGCACGAGTACCTCAAATGTAACACACAACACAAAAGTATCCCAGATGTTGATTTTCGTACGACAATATGTTAGATGTCAATAAATGTTAGTCGTTTTTTGTCATCATTCCGAAGTAGAAGTGTAAGATAAAACTCCACTCCGAGGTTACCCAAGCATAAGAGAGAAACGTTTTATGTTATTATGATACCGACAAATTACGATCCAATATGTTAAAATTAATTGAGAAAATATATCAAATATCAAGCAAATATATCGGCTGCTTTGCCCCCCCCCCCCCCCGCTTTGTCCCCACCCTGCTTTGTTCTCTCTCTCTCCCCCTACACCCCCCCCCCCCCCCCCCCTGTACAGAGTGAGTATGGTTTTACGCCGCTTTTAGCAATATTCCAGCAATATCACGGCGGGGGACACCAGAAATGGGCTTCACACATTGTAACCATGTCGGGAATCGAACCCGGATCTTCGGCGTGACAAGGCTACCCGACCCCCGCCGATTTCTTACACTTTGGGATCAATTTACAAGTATAAAAAAAAATATTTGTGTGTACATATTGCAAGAATCAATTACATTTCCAACCTATGACATAATACATGTATAGAGTTCGGAATCTCAACGAAATGCCATGCGGCATGTGGGTTCGAATCCAAGGATCGTGAACCATAGATTCGAAAAACTAATTCAGGTAGACAGGTTATTGTCTATATTTAAGATAGATGTTTATACAGACTTACAAGAAAAGAAAGAGTTTATCAAACTACCGTAATAAGCCTATTAGAGAGGGATAGGTTAATAAATCGTAAGGAAGTGCCGCCCTGTAATCAACAGATTACACTTGACGTTTTAATCATCGTACACATATTAATCATATTGCATCCTTTCAGACTTTGCTCACCGCACACAGGTATGTCAGGCCTGGCTTAAAGACATTGGGACAAACATCCATAAATCTGAGTTTATTGCTATTTTCATGAAATGTCTTGGTTGTCGTCTTGGCAGGAAGCGTCTTTCCTGTTAGTGTTTCAGTGACATTAGCTTCCACTACAATTTGGCGATACCGCAGGTTGGTGTCGTTTGCGAGCAAAGGTTTGCTGGAATAGGTGTCTCCTTCATGGGCCAAGGCACCCAACTCATCAAGAGAAAATTCAACGTCACCATTGCCATCAACAACCTGAAAGCGTAAGTTGTATGTCAGAATAATATGCAGCGTATTACAGAATGATTGTTGTCATGGCTCATTCTGTCGGGAGACACTAAATATGACCCATGTCATCTAGCATAGTATCAGTAATAAGGATGACGATCATCATAAACAAATAAATTAACCTATATAATTGTCAGTGGGTATTTAAGCATCAATGATGAAGTACAATGTATCAGGAAGACGCGTGAAGAAATCTTATTCCAAAGTATCGCTGAAAACTCACCGTTACTTTTTTCTGAATTGATGGGTTTTTCTTGGAGCTATATGACCCATAGTAGTAGGAGAAACGAACACGGATATTGGCTGTTCCGTCCACACCTTTGCCGTGTGTGTATCTTTAAATAAATGAAATGGCAACATAGTTTAAGAATCACATATTTCAGCTATGTGCCAAATACTGTATATGACTTGAGATTCAATGTGTTGAAGATGAGTGTATAAATGATTACGCTCCAGTTATGTTTGCAGTTATATGCGACACTTTCTAAGAACTTGTCCTTAGAGAAGCAAACTTATTATCAAGGAAATCACTCACGAATAATTGTTGGAACCATAGAGAAATGTGTAGATTCACTGATGTATTTCAAACGCTCGTGATGAAAATTGTATGTGAGGGGAACCTACTTGGCAGTGACAGCGGCCGACACAGACGTCATGTTCAAGGTCAGGTACGATGGCAGTACGGTCTCCACCTCAAATTTGGGCAACACTGAAGACAAAAGTCTATGTATTATATATCCTATGAAACCTTAAAGAATATATGTCTTATTCATAACATATTCATAAAACATTGTGACATTGCCTCAGTATACCGCACAAGAATATTTTGAAGACAACAACAGTTGTCATGGTCTGAGTTTAGTGATATCTTGAAAGTCATATTTCATGCGTTATGACATATTTAATATTTTGCAAGAAGAAGGGGTAAGAACTTGACTATATACACTATTGTCGGAACTGGTGATAATCGAACTATGTCAATCAACAGGAGACATCTTGGGCAAGATTGATAAGTTTCGTTTAGACTTGAATGTATCCATTTGTGAGTGAGTATGGTTTTACGCTGCTTTTAGCAATATTCCAGCAATATCACGGCGGGGGACACCAGAAATGGGCTTCACACATTGTACCCATGTCGGGAATCGAACCCGGATCTTCGGCGTGACGAGCGAACGCTTTAACCACTAGGCTCCCCGACCGCCCCCATTTGCTTACAGACATTGCTTTGAAAATGGTCTTGATATTTTCACAGAGAATACACCAAGTGATACTACAAAACTAATAATGATAAACATTATCCGTCTTACCATATTCGGCAATGGTGAAAGTTTTTATTTCTTTGTATCTCTGAAACATTAGGAATCTTAGTAACAACAACAACAACAACAACAACAACAACAGCAACACTACTACTACTACTACTACTACTACTACTACTACTACTACTACAACTACTACTACTACTACTATTAATTCCACAGTTTTCCAAAACGAGCCAGGGTTGTGGGACATAATCTTAATGTCGGTGTTAATTTTGTTGATGGTTCTGTACTGCTGGACGGTACAGAAATAAGTGTCAACCAAGCGAAGTGCCATATCAAGTCGGCCCAGACTCAGTTTTTAAAGGAGATGCATCTGCATCGAGTTTATGTGCAGAGTGTTGAGAAGATTAGCAATCCTGCAGAGTCCTTCGCTTGGATGAAGTCGTCTGGCCTGAAAAGTGAAACAGAAGGCTATCTGTTTGCTGCTCAGGACCAGTCGCTTCCCGCTCGAAACCGTCAATGTGTGATTTTGCATCAAAATGTAAATACAAAATGTACATTATTTAATGAATTTATTGGGACTGACCAACACGTTGTCAGTGGATGCCCAGCTTTGGCACAAACACAGTATCTTAAACGACATGATGGCGTAGCTCGATCCTTTTATTACCGTCTTCGCCATGCTTGTGGTTTTGGCACTAGAGGTCCACCCATGGTACGACCCGGAATATGTAGAGGGCGTCATGGAAATGATATATTCAAAATTCTTTGGAATAGGCCTATTTACAGCCTCATACGTATCCAGGCCAACAAACCTGATCTTGTCTTTTTTGATAAATCCAATGAAATCATTTATATCATTGAATTTTCTGTTCCCTCTGACACTATTGTGATTGACAAGATTGAGGAAAAACATGGCAAATATGCGGACCTCGCTTTCGAAATGTCACGCTTGCATCCCAAGTACCAAGTTGTCCGACTCCCCATTGTTCTCGGTGCCTTAGGTTTGGTACCTCCCAATCTGTTGACTGACATTGGGAGAGTACCCGGGTTTGCTACCAGGAATACAGCCTTTCTGACAATCTGGGTAATGCGGAAGGCTGCAGTGTTGGGGAGTCTTCACATTCTCCGAAAAGTTCTTGGTGGTTTTGACTAGGCAGCGCTTCCTGGGAGAAGTTCCATTCGCTCTCTGGGCTGCGTGTAGAGGGGGCAAGGGCCCCGATCTGATGATGAGCCTAACCAGCCTGACTGTGCCAGGATCACCCAAACCCTTTTTGCTGCATTTTTTTTATATTAATTTGTAAATAATAATAATAATAACAATAATAATAGATGTAATTCGGCAATCACGGCTCCAAGTGATACTTCCAGATATTGTTTGTTGTTTAAATGCCGCACTCAGCAATATTCCAGCTATATGACAGCGGTCTATAATTAATTGAGTCTGGACTAGCACTTACATCAAGAGTGACCGCAATCGTCCAGTCCCCAAGAACTGGTTCCGATGACGTGGTGAGGACGCGAGTAACCACACCACTGGGATCTGTAGCTCCCCGCCACTGTTTGATACGGTTCTTGTTCGAATCCTGAAAAAAAACTATATGCGTTTAGTGACTCGGAAAGAGACTGTGTCATATTTCAGATTTCAAAATAACATCGAATATCTTCATTCGCAACGTATTGGTTTCATTATCAGGTTCATGTTTATATTTGTTGTAAATAGTTTCATCGTTAGTTATTCACATGAATAACTCGCATACAAGTACTCATGTGTGTACAGCAACCCTGCTCTGGGTGTGAACATGATGATATCGCCGTGGCGTTAACGACTGTTGACTCACATATATGACAATATCCACGGGCTCCCGAACCACTTTCAGGTTAGGATAGACCGACACAACCCGGAATTTTACTGCAAAACAAACCATTAAGTCATAACATGTAAGCATTCAAGATTAATAACGTTCGGTATGGCTATAAATGCTGTCACGATCAGCTGTATATACAGTCAGCAATTGATTGTGAGTACATATTCACATGGTGTAAGTAAGTACCTGATTGCCCGGGTTTATACATTGCCTTGTCAGTCTGTATGAAGATGGACTTAGACTTCTCATTAAATTCACAAGTCTCGGACGATTTGAAGTTCAGGCCGCCAGTGCCTGTGAAGTTGAACTGTAGCTCACGCCATCTCCATGGTTGGTGCAAGTCTTTTGGTATCTGTATCAGAATCACACAAAATGGTTTTGTATAAGGACGACGCCAAACATACCAACATCAGTTTGTTTTCCCCGCAGTTTTAGTTGGGACGAAGTATACTCTTAAAAAAGTAGAGGATCATGAAATATAAATGTCAATATCAAGTATTTGAACAACGACAACTGTTGACGACAAACATCCTGTCCAAGAATGTTTATGTCAGTGAAACGTATCACACCTTCTTGTTTGCACGTGCCTCCTGTCATAGCGCTACAGACGTCCACAGGGAGGCATTCCTGTTTTGGACACCTTCAAGGAAGGTCGACTAATCTCTGTGGACCGTTCTTTCTGTCAAGATTCTGCTAATCAAAAGTTGTGTTTTAATTGATTTACTGGAAACATACTGACACCCTCTGTTGTCCCGTTTGCAAGGTGTGTGGGTCGACGTTTGGTCTTTCATGACAACGCCCGTGCTCACAACTTCCATAGAATGCCGTGGACAGCAAAGAGCCCAGATATTTCCCCCACTGAACATGATAGAAAGACGTGTGCCGAAAACAAACTGAAACTGATCAGGATCACGAATATGTTGTACCAAATAGAGAGTGTTTTTTAATGACAATAACATACATCGAAGCATACATCGATATTATTTCTTACCTGAAAATCCACTGTTTCCGTTTGACCTACAAGTAACAAGTTGATAAGTTAAAAGTAGGATTTATTCAGAAATATATACACATTATAAGGGTGGATGTGAACTGCCAGCTCACTCCTTACATACGAGTAAACCATCGTCAACTCTAAAGTGGAAATAGTGGATTTAAAATATACATATTCTTTAAGGCTAGTATAATATATTGTTGCATCATTGAATACTTTTACGCTTTTAATAAAAAAGCCTTTAGTACAGAGAAGACATAATTAACAAACGGGATCATTGTCAACTCAAAGGTCATCCGGTACTTTCCGTATATTTTTTTTCTATTTTAGTTAACATATGAAACAATTACTCGGTTAGGTATTTGAAATACAAACTGGTTGAATTCCACAGTAGGCCATTGAACAAACATTCACTTCTCCATGGAAACGTCTCCTGGAAACGTGTAGGTATTGATATTGGAACAACAGCGCTGATTGTGTTGCTATGTGTACACAGATAAAAATAATACAACACAATCACTTTTAAATTTGCATGAGAATCCACTTAAGTTTTTTATGGCGTGTCAACTGTTTGTTTCAACTTCAAATCAGTTAGTTGGTATATTCAACAGTGAGGGCCCATGCCATTCACCAATCAAAACATTGGCCCACTGACCTCAAGGCAAGGAATATTTGCACAAAGGCTTTACACTCGAACAATGTAAATGCCACACGGTTTGATTGGATCTTCGGCAAACACAAAGGTCTGGTGCACTGCTCGCTGTGAGGCAGATGATGGAATGCTACTACATCAAATCTACATCTACACCAGTGGCCTAGTAGCCCGTCCAGCATGATTCAAGGAACACGCGATAGTGTACAACCAGATCTACTGTGAAGTGCGAGAATAGTCAGTGTAGATAATAAAGTGCAGATGTACTGACATTAAAGCAAAGTACAATTACTGTTAGTATATAAAATTCAAACCAATAAACTTATATATGAAATTTTGAAATATGAACTATTCTCACAGTGAGAATAATAACTAATTAAATGGAACCTGATATGAATATGTGTATTGCTTACACCCGAGAAGTGGATACCCGTATGAAGGATCTTGCTGTTTTCTGAAGCATGACGTCTGAAGGGAATACGAACCATGTATGAACCATGTACTTTACAGGATGGTGTCTGAAGTGGAAATGCCCCCACATACTCTTTTTGGAGGACCTTGCTGTACGTGGACACGGCACCGATGTATGAATGGTCCCTCTGTACTTTACACGATGGGTCTTTTTAAAATGGATATACTTCAAGCATACCCTGTATGCAGGATCTCGCTGTATTCTCCAGGTTGGCATATAGCCTCAACTTAATCTATATCAAGTATATTGCTATACTCTGAAGGATGGTGTCAAATATATCTACGTCAGCAGCTCAAAGCTGTATGAAAGATCTTGCTATTTTCGGCACGAATGCGTGAATATATACTCTTAAAAAAGGATTGCAATGCGGATATTTGTTGCCATAAAAAAAATTCCGGATCAAAATGATTACAAAAAGGACATGAAAACCATTTGTCGGAAAACACGTACGATTCGGAAAAACGCACCATGTGCCTTAACAAAAGGGCCATGGAGATGCTCGTACTGCACGTGCAACAGCACTATGAACGATATTAAAGTGCAGGGTTTTTGATTGCCTGGCATCTGCGTCAATCGAACAGTGACAGTTCAACAACATGCCAAGATTAACAGAAGTGCAAAGAATCAACGCCGTAGGCCGCTTGCAGGCAGAGGAATCCCGATTAGCTGTAGAAAGGGTTTTCAATGTAGCCCCCAGCACCAACACAAGGCTATGGGATCGGCTTGGGTCAGCACCAGACGTCCTGTTCGGCTCGTCATATTGAGTCTACAATATCGTCAATAACGACGGCTTTTATGCCTGCAACACAGGGTATGGCCTCAACTGCGATGGAGGGATGTCTGGTTCAGCGATGTATCAAGATTTCTTCTCTGTCGAGGGGATGGAGGGGCACGGATCTACAAACGTCGGGGAGAAGGTTACGCCGGAAACTGCGTACAGGAAGTGGACAGGTTTGGTGGGGGTAGCGTTATCATCATGGCAGGACAGGTTTGGTCCATATCCAGGGCAATCTTCGATACATCAACGAAATTCTCCTACCACACGTCCTCCCAATTGCAGCCAACGGCAACGGTGTATTCCAGCTGGACACCGCATACAGCACGGATCCCAAGAGCCTGTCTACACAACAACACCGTTGATGTTCTCCCCTGGCCCTCCAGATCCCCGGATCTAAACCCGATAGAGCACCTGTGGGATGAATTGGATATACGGTTGCGCGACGTCAACCACAACCCCAGACGTTGCAGCAGTTGGCTTTTGCGTTGTAGGCCGAGTGGGCTACCAATCCCCAGGATGTGATTCGCATACTCGTCTCTTCCATGGGCAGGTGATGTCAGGCCGCTATCGATTCCAACGGGGGATATACGCGTTATTGATGGTAGCTGACCTTAACCTTGGACTTTTCCTATGTACCGATACCTGAGATGACTACAATCACCAAGTCTTCTCTCCACAATATTTGCTCAATACCTTGTACGGTTCCTCGTTTAAATGTATTTTCCTACCTCACACAAATCTGACTTTGCGTTTCTTTTTTTGAAGAGTATAAATGGGAACCCACTGGTCCGTATGATGTACATTCGACACCAACTTACCCTGGATGAAGGACCTTGCAGTTCTACGGCAACAGTTTACCCGGTTTAAATAGAAGGATCTATCAATATACTGCACACATACGTTGGGGTGATTAGTACCAGATACCTACCCTGTGAGAAGGACCTCGTTGTACTCTGTATTATAGTGTCTGATGTACGGTTGACAAGTGCAATCTGAATTGACACTGGTTGTGTTGCATTTAGAATCTGTACTCTCATTGGAACTGTCCATCCCGGGGCGATCTTTCTGGCAAAGGTGATGATATATGTTCCAGGAGAGCTGTAGAATAAAAAGGAAAACTGTTGATATCTTAAGATAAATGCCCTCATGAGCATTTAGCTTTCCCTCGCCCTGAGAAACTGGACAATGTTTTCTTTTCCCTAGACTCACATGTGTATGCTGCACTAGCCAAGATGCTATTAACGCTCATCAGCATGATGCATTTGTTATTTTATCGCCTGTGGGTGTGCTCAGCAGTAAAATAATATTGTTCTGTTGTGAAATCTCCAAACTGTGCAGTCTTATAGACATAGCTTTCATGCAATTAGGATCTGTTTCAAATCCAAGAAACACAATGTCAGTTTATTAGCAGATATATTAATGCATATTTTTAATTTTCACATGAATATTCACTATGCTGGTTCCTGAGTTTCGACGTTAAATGTTCACAACTATTGCTGCTATGCTGCACGCGTTTTCTTTTCACAACACCAGGACTGTTCTGGTATTCCTTGCGATAGGCAACCCAAATGTCCATGTTGAAGTGACCACACTGCTCGACATGACAGCTGGACAACAGAATGTTTTCAATTGCTGATGCCCCAGGGCCATTGTTGAGACTATGAATAGACAAAGAAACCACCCCACTGATATTTCTTGAAAAGTTCAAATTAATTGACGAATATATAGTGAGTGATCGGTTCACGGCTTCTGTGTGTCTGTGTTAAGTTTCATTTGTTCGTCAACTTCCGAACACTTGAGAATTTCATTCCCATTCAGAAAGTGTTTATCACTCTCATCCGTATTGAATTAAGTAACTTTGCTGCATTCGAGGAACAAGGACCACATCCACACACACACACACACACACACACACACACACACACACACACACACACACACACACACACACACACACACACACACACACACACACACACAACATGGTACTTAGCACATCTGTAGCAGTCGCCGCTGCAGCACTTAAGGGTTCCCCCGAGCCCCCTGGATAAGATCATACAAAGTGTTTTCATGTCACCCGCACTGAGTTCTTTCAGTATCAGAAGGCACCGTGCATATACATCTTAAGTTATGACCTTCTTTTCCTTTACTTAATGCAGAAATTGGGGTTTCAGGGACATAGAACTATTAAAAAAGTTTAATTGTATGCCTGGAAGTGTTTTTAAAATGCAACGTTTTCAACTTCAAATATTTCGGTGTTAGGCGAGTGTGGTACACGTTTTATAGGTTTTGTATTGTGATTTATCCGAAAGTCCCCAAAAGGTTTATTATGCACAGATTCAAACATCCATTTCATATGAGAATTATTTGAGTGGTATTTTACCCTAAGTAAATTCAGAACCACATTGACTCGTTTTCGGCTTAGTTCTCACAATTGAGAAATTGAACCTGGACCATTTTAATATTCCTCGTGAATTTAGAAAATGTAAAGTTTGTAACTTAAACCAAATCGAAAATGAATATCAGTGTTTGTTTATTTGTCAAGCTTATAGCCATCTCAGGCAAAGTTACATAAAATCTAAATTTTACATCTTTCCAAATATTCTGAAGTTTAATACACTACTGTCATCGCAAGAACCTATTATCAATATGAATACAGCAAATTACTTGTTTCATGCCAATGCTGTGAGAACATAATACTCCAACTTTGATAACATGCAATAATGTTCAAGCTGTTGTTGTTAAAAGAACTGTTTGCACCTAAATTGTAATTCGTTTGTACATAAAGGCCCGTGGCCGAAACGTACTGCATAAAGTGTGGTGTGATGTGAATTAGCTCACCCTTGGGCAATTCACATAAGTTCGTTGTCCTTTCAGAAAGTCCAGCAAAGCTTATTCTGGGATGAAGCGTTGATGATGAACTTCTTACCAATTGGTGTCTGAGAGGCGATGCTGATTGCTTGTGGTCCATTCTGCCCAGGCTTCCTCATACTTGTTACGTTAAGTTATATCGGCTATCCATCTCGCATGGCTCAGTACCAATGTTGAACGATACTTCCATGCTTCAGCTACCTTTTTGTTCTTGTCTAGTGGTATACGTGCCAATATATCTTTGCTTGACTCTTCTTGGAGGTCTTGATTGCTGGTCGCAGTTGGACGCAATAACGGAACAAAGCTAGAGATACCGCTACAGTCAGCCAGTGCCGTCCAGCCTCGACTTGGTAACCAGAAGTCTTCAGCACTCATTCTAGTGACAGTCCTAGGTGTCTGACTCTTGGGATTTAAGGGTGAGACCTTAGTTCAACAGATTGTGACCTTTGCTGAACTGTGACTTGATTCTCTTGGAATCACTTTATATCGCGACCGACTCGGACTGAATAAAAGAGCTCTGATCACAAGAAGTACTTGTATACCCCATCATTGTGTGTTGTCACAAGCAATGACAAGCATTTACATGTATTGGGAACTTTCAAGACATACACAGCAGTCTTAATTGAAGTTGAGCTGTATTGAGTCTGACACTTTGACGCGTATTGCCCAAATAGCAGCTGATAATGGTCACGCCTGTTGTCTCGCTTCGTTTGAATGACTGTACACAGCTATCTGCGCACTCAATATATTTAATGAGTAAAGGCAGGATTTTCTTATGAATAAAATTTTTCATATTTCAGTGATTGACATCATGAACATCGATCCACACAACTGGGATGTGATGACACGCATCAACAAAGTCAGCGTTCCTGACCACCCGTTCCCGTAAGTCGCCTTTACGACAAGCATAGTCGCTTTTTACGGCCAGCATGGGCAGCTGAAGACCAATCCTACCCCGGATCTTCACGGATCCATAGATGTTGTGAGAGAATGCAGTAACAATGCCATTTACACTATGACTGTGAAAGATCGCATACTAAATGGGAGGTTTGCACAACAATGTGGCATTCAACTGATACTAACAACAAGAAACTTTCGCTTCTGTTGAAGAGAAGGTCTCACCTATGTAAAGGATCAATGTCTTAATTAGGTAATGCTAAATTATTTGTTTATTATTTTTAATTCACATAACTGATTAGAAATTTGATTGTAAAGCTGGACCATATAAAGTCCCCAAATTTGTCTAAAATGTCTAAAAACTTGTTCTTGGATCAGCGAATATGTAATACCTGAATTTTCTAGGCATTATGTATATTCCTCGAGTGACTCAGACATTACCCCATTATTCCCTGAACATGTCAGGGATTATGCATATTCCCTGATGAGACATAGTCCCTGATTAGACATATTCCCTGATCAGACATATTCCCTGATGAGACATATTCCCTGATTAGACATATTCCCTGATTAGACATATTCCCTGATGAGACATATTCCCTGATGAGACATATTCCCTGATCAGACATAGTCCCTTATTAGACATATTCCCTGATTAGACATAGTCCCTGATTAGACACATTCCCTGATTAGACATAGTCCCTGATTAGACAAATTCCCTGATTAGACATAGTCCCTGATTAGACATAGTCCCTGATTAGACAAATTCCCTGATTAGACATAGTCCCTGATTAGACATAGTCCCTGATTAGACACATTCCCTGATTAGACATAGTCCCTGATTAGACATATTCCCTGATTAGACACATTCCCTGATTAGACACATTCCCTGATTAGACATAGTCCCTGATTAGACAAATTCCCTGATTAGACATAGTCCCTGATTAGACATATTCCCTGATTAGACACATTCCCTGATTAGACACATTCCCTGATTAGACATAGTCCCTGATTAGACAAATTCCCTGATTAGACATAGTCCCTGATTAGACATAGTCCCTGATTAGACATAGTCCCTTTTTAGACATAGTCCCTGATTAGACAAATTCCCTGATTAGACATAGTCCCTGATTAGACATAGTCCCTGATTAGACATAGTCCCTGATTAGACATAGTCCCTGATTAGACAAATTCCCTGATTAGACATAGTCCCTGATTAGACATATTCCCTGATTAGACACATTCCCTGATTAGACACATTCCCTGATTAGACATATTCCCTGATTAGACACATTCCCTGATTAGACATAGTCCCTGATTAGACATATTCCCTGATTAGAAACAGTCCCTGATTAGACAATGTCCCTGATTAGACATAGTCCCTGATTAGACATAGTCCCTGATTAGACACAGTCCCTGATTAGACATAGCCCTGATTAGACACAGTCCCTGATTAGACATAGTCCCTGATTAGACATAGTCCCGTGGAGAAAGTTGCTCAGTGTGCAAATGTTGTTTTGTTCTGATTCGTTACGTTGTAGTTAAGTTTCGCGCATCTTGACTTATTTGACAGGCTCCTTGAACTTTGTCAGATCTCACCATATGTTTGTAGTTAAATGCCGCACTCAGCAGTATTCCAGCTATATGACGGCGGTCTGTCAATAATCAAGTTTGGGCAGTGATTGATTCAATCCAGTGATTGACATCATGAGCAACGATCTACGCAAATAAGATATGATGACCTGCATCAACCAAGTCAGCGAGGCTGACCACCCGATCCCGTTAGCCGTCTCTTACGTCAAACAGTCGCCTTGTACGGCAAGCATGGATTGCTGGAGACCTATTCTAACCCGGATATAACGGGTATCTCACCATATGTATCTGTTTTGATTGATGTGACTTGTTTTGTCAGTACACTTTTCTTGATAACATATGTGATTGTGAAATTGACTATGTACTTGTTTCAGTTAAATGAGTGAGTGAGTGAGTTGGGTTTAACGCCGCTTTTAACAGTATTCCAGCTATATCGCGGCGTGTCAGCATAACGTGGGAGGAAAGCTCGAAGTGATGCGGGTATTAGACGTTTACCAGCAGTCCGGTAAAACCCACGAGCACGGTTATAGTGCTGACAAACCTAGAAACATAATCGGGGCAAACCAGGATTCGACCCCACAATCATAGGTTTCTGGCATGCCCTAGGGACGCGACTCTGCACAGCAAATCGCGGCGCCTTAGACGACTGGGCCACCTGTGCTCTTCCACAAGACCACGGAGGTGGTCACAAGGTCAATAAGCAAATCGTTCATACCAGAAAGTAGCAAATCGTTCTCAAATGTCTTTTTAGAAATATTCATTCACCTCCATATACACATGGACCATCGGATTTGATTATCAATGATGAAGGAAATTGATGTCGACCTGGGAAATAGAAATTTTGAAAGCTTTCCAATACGCAAGAATGGCGTTAAATGCCAATGCCTTGTAAGCTTGTTGTCCTTAGACAATCATTTAAGGACGTTTTCTTATGCATTCCATGACGGTGTTAGGGATAAAATTGTACACAGCTGGTTAAGTTTACATGATTAGCGAAATCGAGGAGCTGAACTCAATGGTTGTACTCGACATTGTTGTACATGCTATAACGTTAATTCAGAAACAAAGAGGGAGGATGAGACACGTGCCCATCCAGTAGTAATACGAGGTAGTTATGAAGCACTTATAACACTGATCTGTAAATCCTCAACGTGCTATGCACAAAAAGCCCCGAGTGCCTAATACAGTTCTGTTCGACGTGTTTAAAAGCTGTTCGACGTGGAATTTGGACAGGTTGTTAACGGCGCGCATCAAACGTTTAAGACCTGCATAGCCTCTGGCTTTCCTCCAACATGAAACTGACGCTCCATTATATAACTGGAAGACACTCACACACTCATATTTATGACAATTTGGAAATCCAGTCCCGAGAAAATATATGAACCACCATAGCGAGCATCCGTGCGCGTGTAATTGTCTATCACCATGGACTCATGAGACACAGACGATACAGCCTTTATTACATAACCCTTACTGCTATGTATGGTCAAGACCACGTAGTGCAGCCTTTATTACATAACCCTTACTGCTATGTATGGTCAAGACCACGTAGTGCAGCCTTTATTACATAACCCTTACTGCTATGTATGGTCAAGACCACGTAGTGCAGCCTTTATTACATAACCCTTACTGCTATGTATGGTCAAGACCACGTAGTGCAGCCTTTACTACATAACCCTTACTGCTATGTATGGTAAAGACCACGTAGTGCAGCCTTTATTACATAACCCTTACTGCTATGTATGGTCAAGACCACGTAGTGCAGCCTTTATTACATAACCCTTACTGCTATGTATGATCAAGACCACGTTGTGCAGCCTTTATTACATAACCCTTACTGCTATGTATGGTCAAGACCACGTAGTGCAGCCTTTATTACATAACCCTTACTGCTATGTATGGGCAAGACAACGTAGTGCAGCCTTTATTACATAACCCTTACTGCTATGTATGGGCAAGACCACGTAGTGCAGCCTTTATTACATAACCCTTACTGCTATGTATGGGCAAGACCACGTTGTGCAGCCTTTATTACAAAACCCTTACTGCTATGTATGGGCAAGACAACGTGTCAGCAGATCTGCAGTCTCCGAGGTTTGCCGATAAAGTTTGTTGTGTTCATCGACGAGAGACAGAACGTCACGTTGTAATGCTCCTGTTGCTGTGACGCTTTAGCTTTGCACTCAATGACATGCTCACGCAGCAAGGAGTTCGGTATTTCGACTGTTATAAAGTGACAGTGTTGGAATAAAACTACTGAAAATGTAAAGGTAATCTAAAACAGAATGACTAATATGTCAATCGATTATAAGTGATCAGAAAGCAATATTTCACGGGGGGGGGGGGGGGGGGGGGGGGGGCAGTATTGGATAATAAAAGTTATATTAATACTTCCAGTATTAGCTCCCTCTAGAATTAATGACAAGTATAGCCATATAATAAACCCGTCTCTTGGCGTTAATTGCATACAATGGTACGATGATAGACTGCACCTTTGAATTTAGTAAAACAGTTTCAGATATTGTACTGAACCATTTTACAAGGAAAGGTACTGACAAGTCTTTGGGTCTCAACATATAAATGACTAGGAGATACATTATCTCAATACTATACATGTGTATAGGCTTCTTGTACAAATACGTGTCTGATGTATATTCCGTTGGACAATTACGTGTATAAAGGCGGTCGCCGCTGTGTGCAAAAGAACACACTTCTTTCTCGGAAATTTCGTATTCGATGCATCATTGATTAAGAACATCAACATCATTGACATAAAAATCACGATGACGCACCAAATGCGTTAAATAGAAGTTCACCACCACTATTGACTGTGTATAGTTGCATATGTGGAGGGGAGGGTATTGCGCAAGTTAAACCCTTAAGCCACCCCGTTTCAGTAAATGAGTGTTAGGGACCACTAGAACATTTACTGTCTATTGCACGGGCTTCGGTCGGGTTTCTAAGAACGTATGTAGTTTGTGACTCAGAAGCACGGCGCGCACCTACCGCCACCATTATCAACACACAGTGGTGAATACCAGTCCTGCGATCGTCTGACCATGCGAACTGTCTGTTTGTAAAGCACACATCCAGTAATGTAAACAGTAGTTATAAAGCCTTACCGTTCATTCTCGGCAGCTCCGACAGTGAGAGCCAGCAATAAGGTCAACCATAACGTCATCATGACTGCATCCACCCCTGTATCCACCATACACAAACAGTCAGGCCCTGTAACACCGGTTGGGGAGTTGAAATGTGAAATTGCCGATGTGGTTCATTATGATCCATTATGTTCCTTATAATTACTTGTTTGTTGTCTGCTGGTCCTTTTTTAGGTTTGACAGACAGAGAGATTATGGAATGAAAATTACCACTTTCATAGAGTTTAATGCACTAAAATGGGACAGTTAACATGCGTTGAAGACTTTGGAAAATCATTTTCAATTCCATGTGGCCCCTGGGCCTTATTATTGGATAAACTTGAAATATGTGACTGTATCTACCTGTCTGAAATGGACTGTTTTTCGAGTCACCTTAAGCATATGTAGGTGCGTGTATGTGCGATAATATCTGGATGTTCGATGCATAGTAATGTTTTAAAGTGGTGTATCGATGCCGCTATGTAACAGATTGTATAATTGCTGCTACCTTTGTAGCCGCTCGCAGTCACCTGACTGCAAATCCTTAACCGGATTGTAACCATGTGATAAAAACTTATCGTTAGCAAAATGGGTATTTCTTGCAAACCGCACTTTGTAATGTTTGTCGTCGGAATGACTTGTTCCACTTAAAAGTATTAACACACATGCGGCTATCTTCGTTAATTAATAATATCGAAACTTCGTGATTCTATTTCATGTTGCGAGGACCATAGCAACATTAACCAACGTATTCAACATGTTTCTAGATCGCATGGCTATTTGTTAGGAACGACGAACAGTTTAGCAAACGTACACTACAGAATGCAATGCAAATCTATCTCGAAAATGTGTCTGCTTTGTGTGAAAAGAGATCATAATTCAAAATTCGATAGATAAATACAGGTTCGTCTATCATGTGGCGATGTTTAATATAAATAATTGAACTTAATAGTTTCGCTTTCCTTTGTACCATCTTGAACATCACACATGTGTTGGACAAGTATGATAGAATGATATGAAATACTGTCAGAAAGATATACAAACGCATCTTGAGACGAACGAGTTAAAATAATCGTGTGGTATAAAGTCTCGTGCTCATTGGCTTTGTTTCATCGTTCACTCCTTCACGTGAGCTGAGAGTTGGTATGTGACTGTACTGTGAATGCGGACATTTGGGAGCTGGCATGAATCATGTTGACAAGTAACCCAACTTAGACTGCCGGAGGTAAGACAGACGTGTCAATGTTGTTTAGCCTTCTTGGGATAGGCGTAACTTTAACATTCTCTTATGTAAAACACTTTTGTATTCTGAAATGAATGCGCGGATTTACCTCAGGATATACTAGTATTAGACCTATTGTCTAATGACGACTCTCTATTCTAAATTAATAGGTGGCGCCTGACATCTCATTCACATATCTCCACATCTACATACACAGGATTATGCTGTCCATGTGATCGTGTGTTGAGCAAGTAACACCATGACAGTATCGCCTTATTTTGGTAGGAATCTATGTGGCCAGGCTGACAGTGTACCTTCTAGCTTCACCTACCTTGTGCTGGTTTAATGGAGGCGGCTCTGTCCTTGCTGTGTAAAAGCTTCGTCAACAGCTAACAGCAAACACGCAACCACTTTGATTTAGTCCATCACGTGACTAGAACCAAGCTGCCGAGTCCCATACGTCACACCTGGGCGAGCAGGTCCGACCATAGCAGCTGAATTGTACGTGTTATGAAAGAATAATAATTTGTCACCATGGCATGTCGAGACATTAAAGTAGCACGGTTTACGACACGCATACTGCAGTCTTCGCCACTTTGAAACAAAATCACGAAATAGTATCAGTATTAATTAACGAAGATAGCTGCATGAGTGCTATAAACTTCTAACAAGGCGTTCCGGCGATAACGAATATTACAGTTGTGACAAAAATTGCAAAGCGCGCTTTTCACAAATACGTTTCTATGCAAGTTGTGAGGGAAGCGGGTGCCACCGGTAGAGCAGGTCATGCTTACACTTTCGCGAAACACCTGGTGCCATGACTGATTTTCAGTGATATATTCCTATAACTGTCACCACTATTTTGTCCAATTGAGTCTGTTCGGCGGATAGTAGTCTCTGTCGTTGAAGTTTTATATTTTCAAGATATATCCAAATAACCATCATCATTGAGTTTTGATCACATGGTTACAATCCGGGTACGTATCGTCAGTCAGGTGACTGCGAGCGGCATAGGGGAGTATATTTAGCAGTTCTGTGCATCTCGAACAAGGTCAGAAGCACGTGAAATTCAACACGGTTTTTTCTTTCAGGTCGTGCTGGGAATGTACCTACAACACTATTATGTCAATCGTTACCCGGCTTGCAACAACGTGAAAACTCAATGATGATGTTTATGGCAGGCAAAATGGATATTTCTTGAAAAGCCTACTTCGTTTAGTAATTAATAATCGCGATATTTCGTGATTCCATTAGAAATGGCACGGTCTTTAGTTGACACGTACACACAAAACAAACGCTATATGTTAACCCCATTATTACTAATTTTACTTTAGCCAAGTCAACACGTTATCATGGTAAGATATGCGCATACAAAGTTTAATCAAATGTAATGAAAAAAGGGGGCGTGGCTATCCCCAGATCCACCACAGACGTACATACATTTTTTGTTATTATCACCATTATCATCGATTTAAGTGATTAACAAACTTCTCTAGATTTACTTTCTAATGGATGTTTGCTATTCACTATATAGGACTGTTGTATGATTGAGTATATTTATTCTTTCCTAATACCAAGTAAGATGTATGGCTGCCAACTGTGCGATTCTCGTCGAGGTGAAGAGTTTGCCTTACGGGGTGCGCACCCCACCTGCAGCATTCTTAACATTCATACATTCAAAAGTGGTGGTCAGGTATACTTACACTATAAATAAATCGTTTGTGACAAAATTACACGACTACCATACACAGATTGACATAAAAATTACTCCCGTATTTAAAAAAAAAGCTGTATCTGTGCCTGACTGATCACATGACCACTCGACCCTAACTTTGCTCTACCGTCTTCACCTACACTGGTGATAGGAGGACCAGGCCCACTCATCCGACTGGGCATGACATGCACATTTTGGATGAATTCATTACAAGTTGTAGCAGTATCACGAGGGCAATGGTATGAAATCTAACGAGAGTCGAATAAAACCACATATACCCCGATTGATACTGCTTCAAAGAATATATCTTGCCGACATGTTTCAATTTGCCATCGTAAGGAATTAAAGCAAATTGAAAAGTAAAAAAAGCAGTTCGATTGGGTTTAACTTAGCCTGTGTCACGGGACTTTCTTCGACTTGTAAACAACATGCGGGATAGTATTTATCAAGATCACGTGAACCAATCAGATTTCAACACTCTGACAAGGAGGTAAGATAAACCTATTTGTTTTCGTTTTCACAGAATCAAATCTAAGTCTAATCTTTTGAATTTTGATTTGTTTGTTTGTGAGTTGTTTAACGCCGCACTCAGCAATATTCAGCTATATAGGTCTGTAAATAATAGAGTCTGGACCAGACAATCCAGTGATTGATATCATGAGCATAGATCTACGCAATTAGGATACGATGACATGCATCATGTATGAGTTTTGAAAGTTCGCAAAATATAACATTGACCAGAGTCTAAATCCCTCATGGACCAATCTGTCACCTTAAACTACGAGTTGAGTAACATTGTAGCGCTAGTGAGCTGGAGCTCCACTGACATCGACCGCATTGGCGGGGTCAGATTTAATGAATCTATATTCTGTGATCATGGCACCCAAACCAAATTCCAAGAAGTGTATAAATGTAATCATTTGATGAAGTACCATGTCGTTAAATTCAGGCAATGGTATTTTCTCAAACCTGAAACTGTCCAATGACTAAGGAATATGCAAACCATCCTGACGTAATATGAAATGATCATACATCCACATGTCCACATTCCATATTGTGTGCCACATTTTAGGATTCAGTTTACCAGTCATTGACTGGGTTTGCTTGGTTAAGTATCAAATTTTTTCACAGTGCTATTTCTAATAAGTTGAAAAGAATTATCATTAACACGAAATTCAGTAACATGTTAATGGCCTACATGTATTTGTTGAATTGACATGTTCAGATACTGCACTAAATGACGTGTGTTTCATATGCAGTGTAAGTATGTACGTATGTTCCTATACAGTGTAAGTATGTACGTATGTTTCATATACAGTATAAGTATGTAGGTATGTTTCATTCACAGTGTAAGTATGAACGTATGTTTCATCTACAGTGTAAGTATGTACGTATGTTTCATATACAGTATACGTATGTAGGTATGTTTCATATACAGTGTAAGTATGTACGTATGTTTCATCTACAGTGTAAGTATGTACGTATGTTTCATTTACAGTGTAAGCATGTACGTATGTTTCACATACAGTGTAAGTATGTACGTATGTTTCATTTACTGTGTAAGCATGTACGTATGTTTCATATACATTCTAAGTATGTACGTATGTTTCATATACAGTGTAAGCATGTACTATGTATCATTTACAGTGTAAGAATGAACGGATGTTTCATTTACAGTGTAATTATGTCAGAACAGCAAGTCGCTGAAAAGTCGGCTCCGCTAAAATCGCCTTATATCTGTATCATTATCAGACACCGTGACCCCAAAATCAGGTAAAGTGACTTTGAAGATACCCACAATGGATTCATGTTAGTAAATCTTGGAAATGATAAAGGGTTCTGCTTAAAATCAAGTGTCCCACATGTGTAGAAATGTGAAGGAGAATTTACACAAGGGCGCATGCACCAGTACTGATTGACTGAGCGTCCGATTTATCAACAAAACAATGGGCAGCCCAAGCAGAGTCAGTGAAGCATTGAGTAGCTCTGTCATCGAGGAACATGACCTACGATAAGCTACACAAAGTGTGGATGATATAGACAATGACATTTTCAATGAAATACACAGACGCCTTGGACAACTTGATCGAATTTCTTTTGAAACTGAACTTTTGGACATATACAAGGATGATGAAGAAAAACCGAACGAAGTGAGACAAAGTCTTTATGACGTAGCCAAGGATAGTCGACATGATACTCCAAATGTATATCTACCAAAACGTGTACAAAGAGAACATTCCAGGAAGTCTGTGATTGAGAAATATGCGTGTGATGTATATTGCCTATATGGTTTTATTACACAAACAATCCCCTCTCATATACTGGAAAAACAAGTACTCAGCAAAGGCAAACCAAACGCACGTCCCACCAACGTATCCGGAGACAGGTCGCCGGATACACAAAGAGGTAATGATCTTTTGACCCTAATCTATGCCAAAATATTGGAAATGCGGGATTCTGCGAACGAACGTAATGACAGCATGGATAGAAAAATTACATGAAATATTTGAGTGAGTGAGTGAGTTGGGTTTAACGCCGCTTTTAACAGTATTCCAGTTATATCGCGGCGTGTCAGCTTAATGTGGGAGGAAAGCTCGAAGTGATGCAGGTCTCAGACGTTTACCACTTCGGTGAAACCCACGAGCACGGGTATGGTGCTGACAAACCTAGAAACATAATCGGGGCGAACCGGGATTCGAACCCACAATCATAGGTTTCTGGCGTGCCCAAGGGACGCAACTCTGCACAGCGAATCGCGGCGCCTTAGACGACTGGGCCACCCGTGCCCCACATGAAATATTTGACACTGAACTCAGGAATATGAAGCGTACCATCGAAGAGAAGAACAGCGACCTTATAACAGCGTACAGAGAGTTAGAAAGGTCTAAAAACGTAGAGCTCAAGCTACATGGAGACGTACGGATACTATTCTCTCAACTACGTGAGATTCACGGATACATCACCTTGAAAGTCATCTGAAAAACAGTATTAGTAAGCTAACACGAAAAACCAACGCTATAGACGTGCAAATAGAAGCTGATGTAATCTGAAGCAAATAAAAGCCCCCCGCTGCTCAGAACTGTGAGTTCCTGTGCACAACCAGGCAATGAGGCCGACCGTGTTCTGATCAGAATAGCAGAAACCAACAAAACTAAAACTCCAAGTGTTGTGGACGTTACTATTAAACCACGAGAGGGATACTATTGGGGACAACACTGAGAACGACGAGGATGGAGACTGTGACACTATGTGTACAATTCCTACTCAACATGACAGTGCCAGTTATGACCATACCAGGGAAGTTGGATGTGATGACGTCAGCCATAAACAACACGAAGACCATGCTCAGAGATCTGTGAAATTCGACAGTGAATGGTCTAGAGCTTTTAGAGGTGTTTCACCAAAATTTAAAACAAAACGGTTTGTGCTATCGTATGTTAGGGCGGATAAACCACTAAAAACAGTGCAAGATGCCACATGTGAATATGCTAAACAACGTGGCGTCCATGTGAGTTACGTTCGTTTGTTGAGACACTGGGAAGGCTACAATCCTACTTACACTCTGAGATAGGAGAACAAGTTACTGAGAATGAACATTTCTGGCCGCCAAATGTAAGATGTCGGGAATGGATACCACAGTCACACAGAAACAGCAATGGTGCACGCTAACTCGTCTAACATGATAACATTGAAAACTTGCCTAATACTTATTACCATGCAAAGTGTTGGAAAATGGAATATTCGTGGAGCCTTATACAGC